TTGAATAGCACTGTTTGATTTGAACTAGTATAATTCTTAAATTTTAAATTTGACGAAGGTTAAGTAATTACAAAAGAGGCTGCATATTTATACATCCCAATTGAATAGCACTGTTCGATTTTAACTGGTATAATTCTTAAATTTCAAATTTGACGAAGGTTAAGTAATTACAAAAGAGGCTGTATATTTATACATCTCAATTGAATAGCACTGTTCGATTTGAACTGGTATAATTCTTAAATTTCAAAGTTGACGAAGGTTAAGTAATTACACAGAGGCTGTGTATTTACAAATCCCAAAATAAATAACACTGGGATGACTTCATGCAGGAACTTCTTAGAAAGGAAGAAAAGAAGTTAGCAGTATCCTTTAACTTTACTTTTTGCTACATAGATGATGTTCTCTTAGTAAATAATTGAAAATTTGGTGACTATGTTGAACGAATCTATCCCATCGAACTTGAGATAAAGGATACAACAGATACAGTTAAGTCTGTCTCATATCTTGACTTACATCTAGAAATTGACAATGAGGGTCCTTTAAAATCAAAACTTTATAACAAAAGAGATTATTTTAGCTTCCCAATTGTGAACTTTCCATTTTTGTTGTTGCAACATTCCGGCAGCGCCTGCATACAGAGTATATATCTCCCAGCTGATACGACATTCCAGGGCTTGTATTTCCTATCCAGATGCACTTGATAAAGGGTTGCTGCTCACAAGGAAGCTATTAAACCAAGAGTTCCAAGTGGTGAAGTTTAAATCATCCCTTCGTAAATTTTACGGACACCATCACGAGTTGGTTGACCGTTATGGAATATCCGTTTCACAGATGACAGCGGATATGTTCCAATTGTCGTAGCTACAATCCAGTCCCCTTTTCCCCGAGTGTGGCCTACCGAATTAGAATTATAACCGAGTTTTTACTACTATGAGCAACACGACGGGTGCCACATGTGGAGCAGGATTTGCTTACCCTTCCGGACCATCTAAATCACCCCCACTTTTTGGTGGGGTTCATGTTGCTCAGTCTTTAGTTTTCTATGTTGTGTTCTGTGTACTGTTGTTTGTCTGTTGATCTTTTTCTTTTTTAGCCATGGCGTTGTCAGTTTATTATCTACTTATGAGTTTGACTGCCCCTTTGGTATCTTTCGCCTTTCTTTTGAACTGGCATAGTTCTAGAATTTCAGAGTTGACGAAGGTAAATGGATTACAACAGAGACTGCGTAGTTATACAACCGAAATGAATAGCCCTCCGCGATTAGAACTACACCTTTTCATTGATTCTATTTGGTGCCAACGTTTTTAGTTTTCTTATCCAAAATCTTTCCCGAGTGATTCTCTCCTCCCTAGACCAAGCAGTGTTGTGGTCTAGTATGGTAATAGTCATTTGATTGAGATCTGCCTTAGTGTGTCCAGGGGATCTCAAATGTCGACTGAGATGAAGGTCTGGTTTGCATTCATAGTCACTACGACGGACGTCCATACGTTTATGAAATGTCTGTTCTGACTCACCAACATACTATTTATCAAATTTACACTGTAGAAGATACACATCATTTGCAGTCTTGCAATTAACATTGTAAAATATGGTGTATTTTGTACCAGAGGAGTGGCTGTAAAAAGTCTGGGTATTTGGTCGTTTTTTCCCACAAACCTTGCAAGAGCCCACTGAAGAAGAGCCTGATTAAGGGAATAAATCAGCTCACACCAGCAAGTCTTGATGACTTTTGGGCCTACAGAAAGCTAGTACGGGTGGTTCAGGGAAGATCTTGAGTAGTTTAGGATTTTTTGTATTTCTTTCCAATTTTCGCGGATAAGGTGTGATAACTTGTCAAATTTAGGATGGTAAGTCAGCACAAACGGGACTCTATTATATTCATCTCGGCTGATGTTGACAGCACGAGAGAACTTTATCAATGTCTTTTCTTTTGTAGCCCCGATTTTTTAGGTGACCGCGAAGTTATTTAAATCGTTTTTTGAAATATCATTGGTGGAGCAAATCCGCTTTATTCGGATGGCCTGGCTGTAGGGAATGCTCTTGGTACAATGTTTAGGATGACATTTCAGGGGAGAAAGATATTGATGTTGTTTGTTGGCTTGCAATACAGATCCGTGTTGAAGGCCGTACTTTGACCTATAATTGTTAATTTTTTACACATTGCGACTTGGATGGAGAGTTGTCTCATCGACACTCCTACCACATCTTCTTATTTATACTGTAAATATGATTCCATCCTTCTCTTGCGTAGCAGTGTCAAGAAATGTGATATAAGAGTCTGAAATTTCATAAGTGAATCTGATTTAGGGGTGGGTATCGTCGGCATGTTGGATGAACACATTGAGTTCATATTCTGTTTTATATCCCACTTCATGTCAATATCGTCAATGAATCGGAACAAAGAAGGAAGTTGATAACGAGAAGCATTAAGAAATTGCTGTTCTAATTTGCCCATAAAAATATTGGCATAAGACGAGGCCATCTTAGTTTCCATTGCTGTTCCATTACACAAGAGAGTGTTCACCATTGAATGTGAAGTTATTGCATTTCAATACCCAAGTTAGAAACTGAACTAAACGTTCAGTTGGTTGGTAGGGTGCTGCGAGAGTTCCAGACTTCCCTAATGGTTTCAATATCATCTTTATGGGGGCTGTTAGTATAGGGAGAGGTAACGTGAAGCGAGATAAGGATTGTTTCAGGTGCGAGAGGGTTCAAGGATTCCATTTTCTTAAGATAGTGTGTTGTATCTTGTATGTAGGATGGTATACTTTCTACATGTGGTCTTAAATGAAAGTCAATAAATGCTGATATTTTCTATGTAGGGTTGTCATTGGCAGAAACTATTGGTCTACCTGGATTATCGATTATTTTGGGCAAAAGGTAGAACGTCCCGGCTTAGATTTTTCAGGTTTTAGATATTCAAATGTGTCTTCATCTATATGACCCTGTTCACAAATGATTTTCAAGTCTCTGGTGACCCTTTTTTGTTAGGGATGTATAAATACTCTGCCACATCCAGTCTGTGTTTTTGTTAAATGTTTTTTTTCTGCTTTTTATCGATCTGATGAGCTAAGCCCTTTACAACTGATTTTTACAGTATGTTCTTATGTTGTGCTGTAACACCACTGTCCCAGGTTAAGAGCTCACAAACATGTTTAACCCCGCCACATTCTTTATGTGCCTGTCCTAAATCAGAAGCCCGTAGTTCAGCGATTGTCGTTTGTTCATGTCTGTCATAATTGTTTTTTGTAAATTGTTTTGTAATGAATTAGGCCGTTAGTTTTCTCAATTGAATTGTTTCATATTTTTCATGCCAGAGCTTTTTATAGTCAGCTACAGTGGATTCATTTATTTTCGTGGGTATCAATTTTCGTGGATTGAGGAAAACTTGCGTTTTCGTGGATATTTCATTTCGTGGTTTTGCCAATCACTGCATACAAAGAATATAGAAAATTTGTTATTCGCTGAACATTTCAATTCCTGGTTCACCTGAACCCACGAAAATTGATCTCCAACGAATAATAATGAATCTACAGTATAGGGTATGGGTTTTTCTCTTTATTGAAGGCTGTACGGTTGCCTATAATTGCTTATATCCACTTCATTTGAACTTTGGTGGATAGTTGTCTCATTGGCAATCATACCACATCTTCTTATTTTTATATAGATGTTATTAATGCTGTTATTACTGTTTCAATGCTAAAACATCTGCATTTGAGTCGCTATTCAAGGTAAGGTTTACCTTTCCACAGCAGGGCTTCCAAAAAATATTTGAACCAGCCGGACATTTTTTTCAATCCTGTTTTTAATCCCTTTAGACAGGTTACTCCATAACAAAAGATGGACATAACCATATGATAAAGCCATTAAACTATGAAAGGAAGATAAACATCATAGACTTCATACTTTTTCAGTTTTATATAAATTCCATGTTTGACATAAACAATTACATTGATAGTGCATGGTTCAAATTGGCATATATCCACAGACTAAACAAAGTGCATTAGTCAGTCGAGAACCAGCTTAGCTATTTGATAAACACGTTTTCCAATACCGGATATTTACTAGACGTCAATAGAGTGGGGAACGGAGACGGTTGTGCAAAATCCATGTATTTTTATCTAGCATTATTGAGTTTCAGCAGTTCTTTCCACTTTATTTGTTAGGGAAAATACTTGGATAATGGTATAAATGACACTTTTATCGTTTTGGATGAAATAGGATGCATTACTAAATAATAAATATCACACTTATGCACATGCGCACATTTTGTAAAATTTCAATCAACATGGTTCTGTCTGTTAAACTTTTTTACCACCTTTGTAAATTATGATCTTACTGTTTTAAACACGTTTTTCTGATAGTCTAAATCTGTTTTGCTAAAAAGTAGTTAGAATTAAACCAGGAATGTTTTTAATTTTAATAAAAAAATAACTTTCAAAAAGATCGAATGATTTAAGGTACAAATAGTTTACCTGACACTGGTGATCACCGATAACTCTCACCTCTTAGACACGTAATTAACCTTGATTGTAATTAGAGGGGATTATAGTAGGGCTTGTTTATAGAGAACTGTCACTTTTATGACCGTAAAAGTGTGGCTGTTTAAGGCACAAGGTCAAGTCAAAATGGTTGATTTTTCTGATTTGCATGAATGTTGAAAAGACAAACCCAGGTAGGATGTCCGTTTCATGCTTGGCCTAGACGGACAATGTACGATAAATTTATATTTGTCCGGCAAATGCAACTGTTTTGGAAGCCTTGTTCCACAGTACTTGTCGGACTTGTTTTCAGCTGGGTTCATTTTAAATAGGTTTGTTTCTATGTGTATCTTTTCTGCATCATAGCTATTCTTTTTGTCATTTGTCCAACTGTTGCTTAAAATTTTCTAATCTCCCAATTGGTCTCTTTTTAATTTCAATACTCATGGTAATAACAGATTACTCCTTACTTGATACTCAACATTTTTAAAGTTTCACTAGAAACAATATAAAATAACACAGGACATATGATATTTTATTTAAAATAATAAAGCTCTTTATAAAACATATCTTAAAATTTGAGATATAAAAACAATGACAAATTGTGTGACTTTCACATCTAAATTTTACTTTTTTTTCTTTTCTTTCCCAATAAAGAATCATAACTTCATCTTCTTTTATTTTTTATGGGTAAATCTATCTTCTATGAACATGTATCTGTTGAATTTGAACTTGGAAGTATAATGACTAGCGTCCAGCTGGATTCTATCATAATTGTTCTTCCATACCAGCATTTCATTATCCTTAACAACATTTCATTATCTGACTAGTATAAGACCAACTTGTATCTGTGATAACTGACAAATCTTAAGTTCACAATCATTGTCAAGGTTTTTTTTAATTAAAAACCTTTTTAGACTTTGTAAAATAAGATCATTTGCATAATTAAAATCAAACTGACTAGTCTCAATGCATTTGACATAATATAAATCAATAGCATCTAACAGTGGATAACTGCTTTCAAACATTGATGACATAATCAATCCATTCCATCATTGTTGATAATTTGGTAAATCTATTGGCAGTATTGGTAAACGTCCCACACATGGCAGCCCCACTACTCATTACTCCAGCTAATTTCCATTTACCCATGTGATCCTCACACATCATTGGACTACCACTATCACCCTATAAAGGTAGAAATTGTCAGGACTTTACAACTTGGTCTCGATTGTTAATAACAAGTAGTTACTTTATTGCAGTTGTCGAAGAAATTACATGCAGTGTACTTTTTAAAATAAACTAAATGCAATAATCATTTCAAAAAAAAAATTTTTTTCTGATGATTTTTGAAAGTTTGTAGATAGAATTAATTTATTTCTTGATTTCTATTCAACTCTTAAACAAAATTAAAATCATATGAAATGTTTAATGTGCTCAGCATGTTCTTATACCTGTATGCCTAAAAACTGTAATACTTTACAAAGAAAACGTGTACCTTATTTTCATATAAAGCTTATTTTGCTTCAGCACACATGGAATTTATGCACGAATTTAAAAATGTTTGTTGACTATGAAATAAATACCGTCTTTTGGTATGTATAGTGTGCACATTTAGACCCTGGGTCATGTTTCTTGTAAGAGGGGTGGGCGTTATACATGCCTACAGACATTTTCTTAGTCTTTTTTCAGGTTCAAACTTTGACAAAGAAATTTCCAGGAGAAGTGAAGGGTAGGGAATATTTTTGCTAAAACCTCGATTGTTTTTATGTTTTGCATGTTATATTTGTAATATGTATCTTATTGTTCTTGATTTGTCATGTTTTATTCAAATAAAATACATTTTATATCTCTGTAGTTATGTTTATCGTGTAAATTTGTCCATCTGTTTGCAATCCGGAAATTTGCCATGTCTTAATAAAGACACAATAAAGCTTTTGTTGTCGGTTAAATTAGCCTCTGTGTTCCTTGTTGTCATAACTTACTGTTTTTGTATGTGTTCATCATGGAGAGTAGAAGAAAAGTGTATGAAAATTGAATAAACCACGCTCGTTTTGAAAAGATAAACCGCCATTTTTTCTAATGTATCAGGTGATCGCCAGTCATGTGACTTGATATTGTAAAGTGATGATTTAGTCTATGAGAAGTTTATTTTTATGAATACGTTTCTACTTTGTTACTTTTAAACAACTGTTTAAAACCATTCAAGAAATTATGATTGAAAACATGATAATCCCATAATTGTAACCTGAACGAATTTAATTAGGAACAAGGTGAACCTATCACTGATTTGTTTTGACATCGATTAGACCCGTTGATTGAGGTGTGATAATTCAGATTAACAGCTAGAATCAACAAACAAAAAATAAAAATAATGAGATTTTAACAATTTATTACAGTACTAACGATGTTAATGATAATCATTTGACTGATTCGTAATTATGTTATTGTTTCAATCAGAACATTAATTTGGATATTTAATCTTGTCCTTAATACTCAAACAATTTATTAAATTTGGTTTTCAAAAAAAAAAAACATAAATGTAGGTTTATCTCAATCTAATAAAATTCTTATTCGTTTGTCAGAATACTTGCAATTTCACATTAATAACGTATTCTGTACGGAATTTTCCGACATCAGTGTCCATTTAAAAAACTTCCTGTTTACCGATAGACTTCCTGTATGCCGATTTTGGAGCTGTAACTTTTCCGAAAATGTCTATGAGTCTTATACGAACAATAAACTTTTTTTCTCACATTTCTTGGACCATGAAGGGGGTGGGCACTATACACAAATGCGCACTATACACCCCAAATGATGGTAAATTGCATGTTTCACTCAGTTAGATATTTGAACTTCTTTTTGTTTTACTCATTTGTGTGATCTTGTCTTAAAACTGTCTATCAAACATCTGATGATCTGTATGATGAAAGCTATTAAGCATAATTTAATACTTTATCACAATTTACCCTCCTCTAATTACTATATCTATTTATCTATGTTTCATTTTGATGATTAAGTGCTGACTCCTTGTCTATTTGTGTTATGTTTTATACTTGTGAGATATTCCCTATATTTACCTGACATCCTGAGATGACCCCAAACTTGTATCCAGCACAGTATGTTATATTGGTATTTACTTCCTGTTCTGATGGTACTGTATTTGTCCTACATTCTTCGTCAGACAAGACATGTAACTTAGCCTCTCTAAGATCTTGAACTGTTATATCTTCATTGAAAAAATTAAAGGAAAGATCATTCATTATGAAAAGAGCTAAGTTAGTTTAATTAAAAGTAACAGTTGATATTTAATATATAACAAATAACTACTGCCTCTATCTGAATATAGATTTTTTGTATGAGTGTTCACCAGTAAAGCTGCTTAACCTTTAAGGAGTCACAATAAGGACACCAAGGTTCAACCCTGACATTTATTGCTGTTTGACTTTTCATATTTTTAACTTCAGGTCATGGTTGAAATGTCAATCTCAGACTTAAATACTTCACAATGTTGTCTAATTCTTCATGTTTTATTTCATGTTATCTTCACTGTCTTACTTGCTGCTACAAAGTGCTTAATAACAAGTACACATATGCAACTAACATACCTTGATTAGAACTAATATATCCCCATCCAGCCAAGTAACAGTTACTAAATGAAGAAAAATCTGCCTTAGGTAAACAGGCTGGTAGGATATAGTCAGTATAAGTTACAGACTTTTCCAGATGGATCAATGCAACATCATAGTATATTGGACCAATCCCTGTCCATGTTAACCTTGGATGATGTATGACCTTATCGACATGTCTGCTGGTGCCTTGACCTCTTAGACGTTTGACTGATCCTAATAGAACTTCGATGTAATGAGGATTTTCTGTGAAATTATGAGATCCTGGTCTGAAATTAAAAACATATATAAAAGTTTGTCAGAAACAACATGAAATGATAAATGGTAAGGTATTTCAGAATCTTAACAAAAATAATGCAATCCTATAACAAATTAAAAATTCTACCTAGATCATGTAGACATGTCCTCTGAAACAACTACTGCTAATAAGTGTCTGAGGACATGAATGCCCCTGCACAAGCTTTGTAATTTTCCAAGTTAAAAAGGGGCATAACTCTAGAACAGTATATGACTCACAACCCAAATTCGAACTCTGTCTGCGTTTTGTGGTTCTTAGCACTGTGTATAAGTTTCATAAAATTTGGATGAGACACACTTTAGTAAGAGTGCCGAAACAAAAACATTTGCAATTTTCCAAGTTATAAAGGGGCATAACTCAAGAACGGTAAGTGACTCACTGCCCAAATTCCAACTCTGTCTGATACTTTTGGTTCTTAGCATTGTGTAAGTGTTTCATAAAATTTGGATGAAAAAAACTGAAGTTAAAGTGCAGAAACGAAAAAAAATCCAAAGGGAGTTTACATCAATAGATATAAACATTTCACCAAAGTTTCAAAAAATTGGTTTAAGCGTTTTTTAGTTATTGTCCGACATATTGATGACGGACCAACAGACGGACTGACGTATGGACAACTGTATACCATAATACGTCCCGTAAACAGGCGTATAAAAATGGAAATTTCAGATTGTAAACTAACAAATGCACATTTAATAATTACTGATACTCACATAGCAACACAATGGCCTGCTGTTACTACCCAGTCCTCTGATATCAAAGTTCCACTGCAAAAAGATCTGCCAAGATATGACAGGGACACAATCCATGGCCACTGACCCAAGGTGGCTATATCTCCACCAGCAACAAATGGAAGCATCAGATTAGGGCTTTGTTCTCCACATTCTGAAACATTGGTTACAAATTTAAAATACATGGAAATGTAAAGAAACTTATCAAAGATACCAGTCTTATAACTTTGTACCCTGATGTGTGTTTAGTCTACAAAAGACTCATCAGTGACACATGAATCAAAAAAGTGAAAAAGGCCAAATAAAAGGAAAAAGACAATCATTCTCAAATATTTCTCAATAGGTTCCTAAAGCTTCCAATTCATCCAGATATAGTAAGTAAGTAACATAAAGTGCTTGTGAGTACTGAAGGCTAAAGATTGCTTTCATTTTGAAATTAACTTAAAATTAACAATTGAATTGTACCAAGATGATTGAGACACATTAAGGCAATATTGTGAATTGGACTTATCTTCCTTTGTTCATAATTTGACTTGATCCAAATTTTAGAACAGATAGATTCACACACCATGCACAAATTTTATGTAGTTTTTGATTAAATAGTTTGGTTATACACATAAACATCATTTTGTAATACTTCTTTTGTTGCATCCATCCCAAAATTAATAAAAGAAACTTTTTATAAATACTGAAATTAGCATTCTTTGTCCTTTAGATTTGTTTGTGTCGTTGTATTGTGATGTCAAACCCCTTCAGGTATTGGATAGCAAATGTTATCACTGGAATAACTTTATTCACACGTCTCATATACAACTTCTGCACATTATAACTCAACAATAGAACCTTTTAATAGATGAACTAACACTAAAGTAATAGAGAAGTAAATAACCTTGCATAACAAAACATATTCACACCATAGGTTTGTAAAACATATGATAGGAAATTAGGAACAAAATTATATCATAAGACGATACACAAAAGATGGAAATACATGATACAAGTTAATAGTTAAATGCCTTCACCAAGCCTACAGAAGTTAGTTCTGAGTAAATACTTGTAGGTGTCTTTATATTATACTGTGCTGGTATATTTCTTGTTTTTTCTTTCTCAAAATTACAGTTTTAAGGTGGTACCTAACACTACAGGGAGATAACTCTGTAAAAATCAGCTAAACGTTTTAATCACATTGTATTGTTGTAGGAAATATTAAGCTTCTCAATGACCAAAATTAGTGTTTGTCAAACTGCTATATAACCAATGAAATTTTTCTGATAAAGTGGTTGGTTCAAATTTTTTGAAATTTTTATATTTTTGTCAAAGGGTCAAAGTAAACATTTTGTCAAAATTTTATGAAAATTAAACGAGCCAAATTAATATTAGTCAAGGTGTTGGGTACCACCTTAATGAAGAATACAAATAATTCTGTTCATTCTAAATCTACAGAAAGAGAAAAGAAAAAACTATGGTGGTATTAATTCGACACAAAAACAATTACTTAAACTAAAGAAATGAGAACTCTTGCTTTCAATAATAAATATACCAGAAGAAGCTCAGTGTTCATGGTTGTATGTGTGCTATGGTTACATGTTTAAGAAAGAGTAAATGTTAAGATCATTAAAAAGTTTTCATTGTATGCCTCTAAAAATGAATCAAATTGTGTCTCATATCAAAATTGAATCAATAAAACCTATATTTTATGCTTTCATGTTTCATAAGTTTTGATAAAATAAAGTAAAGGCTTATTTCACCGTTATTGTTCAAGTGCCTTAAGTTTTTGGTTCATTTGAACTAACTGACCACTGCATCTAGTTAGGAATGCATTGAGGTGAAAGTATGACAATCTGATTTGCTTTGTTTGTTCTAATGACTAGTTTGAAGTTCACAAAAGTTGCACAAATCTGCAAACTACAAGATGAAGGATAATCTAAATTTTCAATACAGTACACTTTGATGAAAACCTGTAGGCCAGCATCAAGGTAAAAATATATAGGTTAGTTTGATCTACATGTAATGATTCAATGAAAATGACTCGAGTTTTTTTCCAAGTATATACCTAGCTGTAATGGAACAGGGGGGATATGGTAGTTTGGTAAGTTAGTCACAGTTTGTCATAGTATATACCTAGCTGTAATGGAACAGGAGGGATATGGTAGTTTGATATGTTAGTCACAGTTTGTCACAGTATATACCTAGCTGTAATGGAACAGGAGGGATATGGTAATCTGATATGTTAGTCACAGTTTGTCACAGTATAAACCTAGCTGTAATGGAACAGGAGGGATATGGTAGTTTGGTATGTTAGTCACAGTTTGTCACAGTATATACCTAGCTGTAATGGAACAGGAGGGATATGGTAGTTTGGTAAGTTCGTCACAGTTTGTCACAGTATATACCTAGCTGTAATGGAACAGGAGGGATATGGTAGTTTGGTATGTTAGTCACAGTTTGTCACAGTATATACCTAGCTGTAATGGAACAGGAGGGATATGGTAGTTTGATATGTTAGTCACAGTTTGTCACAGTATATACCTAGCTGTAATGGAACAGGAGGGATATGGTAGTTTGGTATGTAAGTGTATTTGAACATTCAAGGAGATACACGCTACCCGTAATTAGTATGTTAGCTACGTACCAAGCTTAAGAAGGTTAGTACAATGTACTTTCGATGCTGTACAGACTTTGATACATTGAAAGAGAATAGGGATTACAAATCACTTATAAGAAACAAAGAAAAAAGATGCATGTTTCCACTTGTATCCCTGTCAAATTTAAAAAAATGTTCTTGACTTTCAAAAGAACTGAAGCATCCAATTTGTGTAAACATGAATCTTTATTGAAAATTAATGATTCCATATGAAGGTTATCTTTCTGAATGTATTTACATTATTGCTTTTTTTTTTCTTTTTTTTTTTAACAAATCCGGTAAATTGAGGTAAACTGCATAGAAAAAAGGCCATCAAATATCTAACTGGAAGTTTGGACATTTAAAAAAAAATTTAAAACCTATTCATTTTTGGTAAGTCAGATAGGATATTTTCAATTTTTACAACCCGCAATAAAAATACCAGATTCTGGAGAATAGGGTTGGTAGGGTAACCCAAAGCATATCTTTGTTTTTCTTTTAACCTAATCAACTAGTTACATGTAAAACAGCTCTGTTTAGATATGAATTACCCTACATGTATGTTAGATATGAAGTACTACTTAGAGTTAGATAGAAAGATTGTTATATAAAGTAAAGACAATTTACCTCGTGGCAAGCATGCAATGGAGACAGTCATATTGGAAGTACAAGAGGATCTGCCCAAAATAAAAACTAGAATGCTATTGTAATTCAATAAATGAATTTGGTGAAAAGGTCATAAACAGAAAGAACGCATACATGTTGTATTTCATACGTTTTATAATAAATGCATGTCTTCAAAATCACTCTTTACAATAAAATATTAAACCATTTTGACAGATCTAAAGAAATTTACACTACAAAAAATGCAGTCTCTTCAATAATGTTCTAGGTCAAATACTCCAGAACTAGAAATCTTAACAAATGTTGATGAGGTGAATCCACCAAAAAACAACTATAAAATAAGGACAAATTTTGTCTAATGATAAAAAATTCTATTAAAAAATTTGATACTTTTATTAAACATGTTCATAGCTGTTGTTCAATTTTTTTTTTGACTTATTGAAGGACCTTCTGCTGTAAGAGTGACATCCTTTGAAGCCATTTTAAAATAACAATGCAAATAAGAATTTATTTTAAATCAAACTTACCTAATTTTCATGTACTGTAATATGTTTTTGAAATCTGTTATTTGGTGATCAAGTTCAATAAAGTCAATGCCATTTCCACTTTCACTTGATTTAATGTATCTTGTTATTGTAGAATTTCTGTTGAGGGAAATTGACATATAGGTTAAAAAAATCTTATTTTGAAACTTGAAACGAGAAAGTTTGGAGTTTACAGGTATAATTATATGTAATATGTAAGAACCAATTAATCTAATATTTTTGAGTTTATTTTTGAGTTTGTTTTTGTTGTTTTTTTCTAATTTGTTACTTTATAGAATCTGCCTTGTTGGTAGCCTGAATATCAGTAATATGGATTCTGTAAATGGGTATCTAATTAAGTATTCTTATTTGAACAAGATGTCTAATGCTTTCATTAGATGAAAAGTTGTACTGGATATGTGACAATGTGTCAAAAGAAGGAATCTTTACATACCCTTCCATATCTTTACCTAGATTTTGAAAAAAAATATTGTCACTTATGCCAGGAGACTGGATGGTATTATCATACTATCAGTTTAAATATCATGCCTGTTGTAGTTATTGCTTACCTGTAACCTAGAAACTGACAAATATAGTCACTGATACCAGAATTCCAGTGAGTGTTACACACAGTGTAGTTATTCCCCTTGTACTGAACTGTCATGGCTGTGTCCTTGTTAAGGTTATCTACAGAGAGTATATAGAAATTAGTTATGAACTAAAATAACAGTGTTTTATCAGAAAACTGTAATATATGTTAGATTTAAGTTCTGTGAAAAAGACATGGATACTTTTAATTCAGATTAAAATTAAAGAACCTTAGTGAGCACGCTCACATACCCCACGTCCCCACATTGTCATTGGAGAAATAAAATAAGTGTAAGAAAAAAAAATTGTATCAGAAAAAAAAATTGAATCATAATTTCCTGTCAATATGCACATCTACATAGTATGTCCTTATTATCTACACAGTTTCATGAAATTCTGTTGTGTGGTTTGAGAGGAGTTACGATGACAAAAAGTTGCAGTAGTATATTGGGCAAATATGTTCAAAGGGGCGTAACTCCTGGAAAAAAAATTGAATCGTAATTTCCTGTCGATATGCACATCTACGTAGTATGTCCTTATTATCTGAAAAGGTTTCATGAAATTCTGTTGTGTGGTTTGAGAGGAGTTGCGATGACAAAAGGTTGCAGTAGTATATTGGGCAAATAAGTTCAAAGGGGCGTAACTCCTGGAAAAAAAAAATGAATCGTAATTTCCTGTCGATATGCACATCTACGTAGTATGTCCTTATTATCTGAAAAGGTTTCATGAAATTCTGTTGTGTGGTTTGAGAGGAATTGCGATGACAAAAAGTTGCAGTAGTATATTTGGCAAATAAGTTCAAAGGGGCGTAACTCCTGGAAAAAAAATTGAATCGTAATTTCCTGTCGACATGCACATCTACATTGTATGTCCTTATTATCTGAAAAGGTTTAATGAAATTCTGTTGTGTGGTTTGAGAGGAGTTGCGATGACAAAAGGTTGCAGTAGTACATTAAAGTAAATAAGTTCAAAGGGGCGTAACTCCTAGAAAAAAAATTGAATCGTAATTTCCTGTCGATATGCACAACTACATAGTATGTCCTTATTATCTAAAAAGGTTTCGTGAAATTCTGTTGTGTGGTTTGAGAGGAGTTGCGATGACAAGAAATAGGACTGACAGACTGACGGACGGACGGACAGACAGACGGACGGACAGACGGACGGACGGACGGACGGACGGGTCAAAAACATTATACCCTACGCAACTCGTTGCGTGGGGTATAATAAAACATTTTGGCTGATTTCTGTGCTTTTCATTTTGTGGACTGGCCATGTAGAATAAAACTAGAACGGTAAAAGTGATGCCACCAAAATTCAAACTTGATCTGTATTTAGTGGTAATAAGCATTGTGTATAAGTTTCATAACATTTGGTTGAGGCAAACTAAAGTTAGAGAATGGAAACCAACTTTGGGACGTACGTACGGACAGACGTACGTACGTACAGATGGACAAGGGTAAAACTTAATGCCCCCTCCGCTATGGCGGGGGCATAAAAATGCATGAAAATTTGCATTTTGCTGAATGTTAAATTAATGGTTTTCATAAACCACAAGTCCACAAAAATAGTACCCAATGAACATTAATACTTTTATAGAAGACTATTTAAACTTACAACAAGACATTTCATCTTCTGCCTGATTACACTGCTGTGAACCATCACAAACTTGTGTAATATTTAAACAGCTATAGTCATTACATACAAACTGGTCAGGACTACAATCACCTACATTTTAGAAAAATAACTATTTAATGAGACAAGCAACTTGTGCATACATAAATATATACTTTTTTACAGTATTAGATAATGAGGTCACTAACATCAATTAGATTTTCATGGCAGTATCAAATGTTAATAGTATGTCTAATTTGAACATAAAAAATATTTTCTTTCTCTACCTAACAACTAAATTATTTTTATTTACCGGTGTTTAAAGTAATTGCAAACGGCTGGTATTTTTGTTCAAGCATATTGTTTTTCTTATATTGTTTAACATTTCACAGCAGTATAACATGTTACTTTAATTATTCTTCCCTTAGTTTATTTATTTTGTATTTACATTGTATCATAGATCAAATTTATTTGTTCAGTGTATGTTCACTGGTGTCTAATATGTCTTTTGATTGAGTTAAGCCATTTCAATTGATATTTTATCGTGTGTCTTTCTATGTTGTGATGTTACACTATTGTTTCAGATAAGGGTGAAGGTTTGGTACCATTAAAACGTTTAAACCCGCTGCAATTGTTTGCACCTGTCCTAAGTCAGGAATCTGATGTTCAGTAGTTGTCGTTTGTTGATGTGGTTCATAAGTATTTCTCGTTTTTCGTTTTTTATATAGATTAGACCGTTGGTTTTCCCGTTTGAATGGTTTTACACTAGTAATTTTTGGGGCCCTTTATAGCTGGCTGTTTGGTGTGAGCCAAGGCTCCGTGTTGAAGACCGTACTTTGACCTATAATGGTTTACTTTTATAAATTTTGACTTGAATGGAGAGTTGTCTCATTGGCACTCATACCACATATTTTTATATCCATAAACAATAGAAATAAAAAAATCATGAAACGCCAGAGGTGCAATGGCTGATTTATAACTAGAACTTATGGAAATGCATTTGTCTAGGATTCTCACAGGGAATTGGTGATTGCAACATTTCGAACTGAAAAAATCAAATAAATATTTTTTAATATATTCAGGTTTAATAACCTTGATGCTTTCATACAAATACTACTCCCTTGTCATGTGTTTAAATGAAAAGTGACAAATTCCGCAAACTAATTGTTTTCTATCAATAAAGAAAACAATACATACTACAGTTTGCTTCATCTGTGCCCTGTAAACAATCCACGTGTCCATCACAAATCCACTCTTCTCTGATACACTGTCCACCTATACATGGAGTTTCACCAAATGAACATGCTGAAATACAATACATCATATGATTTAAAAAGTGTGCATCAACAAACTTTTTTCAGTGGTAGAAATTTTCATTCAGTAAAAATATCATAGAATTCGCTCTACCGGTATTTATCTAGGGGTTAACTTTTATTCTCAGTACAAATGTTTTTAATTTGGCCCAGATGTTTTAAATTATATACTACATCAATGAAATAGCAAACAAACCAGATCACGAAAAGTAGTGTTAATCATATATATAGCCTTTAATGACGGACAATTGTCCAGCCTAGTAAAAATAACCTGAGGTGAAAACTTTAATGTGTTGAACTCATAAAAAGGCAACAATTGTATATTTGAGTAGAAAAAAAGTGGAATTACATCAATAAGACAGCTACCTAAAGACACAATTAAACTATAAAAGATATTAAGAAGTGTATAACATACATGTAAATCAAGTTCCAAATCACTCTGAGTCAGGACAAGTTCTGAATGTATTCAACCTAAACCAAATTTTATCATGACAAAGAAGGTACATCATTACTTCCTTAATTACTGATAATTACTTAATTACTGGATTCTTTTATTTTCACTATACTTATTTTTGTGGATTGAGAAAAAATTGTATCTTTGTGGATATTTGATTTCGAGGTGTTGCAAAAGTTTGCATATTTGCCTACAGAAAATTTGTACTTCATTTAACATTCAAATTTGTGGTCCACTTATGCCTACGTTATCCACGAAAACTGGTATCCCACAAATAATAATGAATTCACAGTAGTGATACTGTCTAGACAGACTTACTGCAGTTTATTTCATCACTGTTGTCAAAACAGTCATCTACATCATCACACCATTTATGTGATGGAATACTCAGTCCATTATCACATCTTCTGTAAGATGATCCATGTTCTGTCAATATTAAAACATCATAGCATAAGAGTTACTAAAAAAAAGTGAAAGTGACAATACACATGACAAAGGATGGATTACTTTAAATGTCAATGTATATATCATGTTGAAGAGCAATCATGTGATACATCATGTGATACATCTATCAGCTAATCTATTGAAGTATGAGACAAAGTTTATTATTGAAGATGTTATTGATTTGGGAAAAAGTTAATACTTTATTTTGAAAGTATCATGAATGACAGTCAAGAAGTCACATTCTTGAATTCATGGTTTTAAATTTTGTTAACATTCACTGATTTTAAATATTTCATTTCAATGTGAGTAATGCTTAAATTACTTCTTAAGGAATAATCAAATGTATATTCACTGATTAATTATGGATAATTGCACAAAATTATCTCCTTGAAAGTAAAGAAAATCTTTTTCTTCTAATTTCCACAGAAAGGTAACCATACCACATCCTATTTCATCTGAGAGATCCATACAGTCTACTCTTTTGTTACACTGAATCCATGACCATGTACAGAACCCATTACCACACTCAAAACCTATACAATCTGAAAACACAGAAAATAATAAAATATATACTGTAAATTCAGAAATTATTGCGTGCATTTATTATTGCGATTTTTGAAGATTGAACAAAAATGTGAGATTAATTATTGCAATTTCAGGATTATCTTCTTATAGCTATATGTATCATATATAAGAATGCGAGTTCTTATTATTGCGATTCTCACCCATTCGCATTATTCGGATTAATATAAACCTCACAATAATTTCTGAATTTACAGTACAGTTCCTAAAAGATGATAAAGGGTTTCTTGATCTGTTTTTTTGAAACATGGTTAGTATGTGTTTACCAGAAACATGGTTAAGGCCAACTAAAATTAATTAGTAGATTTTCATCCAGATTTTTGAAAAAAATGGGGCGGGTGTGAGGATTTTATTTTTTAAATTTCTATTTCCTCCTAAACCATTTTGTGATGTGTTGTTCATATACAAGGGTAATAATAAGCTTATATCATGTATATATAAGGAATTCTACATATTTTTTAAATTCTTAAATCAATATTTCTGATTGGCCACCATTGTTCTACATGTAATTGATGCTTTAGAAACCGATTTTTAGTAAATAGTAAAAACGTGGAGAAATGTTTTTATTTAGACTGCATAGATAATTCTTTTTTGCTTTCTAAGCAATGCTTTGTAGTGCCCATAAAATGAAGCATATGCATTGGTAAGCAACACAAATATTATAAGTACAGAGTGAAATGAAAACTCAAACTGTGTTGAAAATACTAGGGTTCATGCTTTTAAGATTCTTATGCAAGGTGCAAATATAATTACAATGTAAAACATGAACTGAACAAAAAATAAAAAGTTGTTTAATGACTCTATTGAAGGGCTGGGGACAGAGGGTGTTTGCTGTTTGTCAACAAAAACGACAGCCTTGGGGGTAAATCTAAGCCATGGCTATAATACATTTTGTGCATTGGCAGACTCTTTGTACTCAATCACGTGTACTCAATATACGGTCATAAATAGCACAAGTTCGTGCTTGTGTGAATTACTTTATTCCAGTCACGTTTTTAGACCATGTGTTCCACGATTCTTGCGCTTTCGATATCATTCACAGTCCAAATTTCCCGACACAAAGTCATTGTATAAATAAAAAAAACCTTGGTTTTCTGAAATTTGTGACATACGGCGATTACCGTTCTTGGACACCGCCAATTACTCGTAACCCGAATATTTCATGTCCTTCTAGTAATCAATCTATATTCTCAGAAAATAACGTTGTCATTATTGAGCAGAAGAATATGTCGACTTATATTACTCAAAGAAATACGAAAACGTATTTTAATTAAATAATTAAAAGTAAATCTGAATAAAACTACAACTTAATGAGTTTCTTGTATTATTGAGATAGTGGATATTTTTACATTTTAACATAATAAAAAAGGCGAGACCATATTCTGCATGGTAGTATCTTCTTTCAAAACAAACTGTTTCTTGAGGTTTGCAAAGTTATCTACAACATGTACCATGAATATTGGACACTCAAGATATATAACACCTTTTTAGGCATGAAATTCATTTTAACTCACTTGCACAATTGAACTCATCTGACATATCTTCACACTGTATAACTCTGTCACATCTACTGGACATATCAACACACTGACCACTTCTACACCTAAACTGTTGTGTGCTACATTCTGAAATAAAACATCAAATAATGCATTATATACTTATTTTACACCAATCTGATGACTCTGGTAACAATGAAAATATGCATATATATATATATATATATATATATATATATACATATACAAGTTTAAATTGAAAATATATATATATATAACCAGTCTAAAAGGGTACAACATCACCAAAAAATGACAATAAACGAACAAATGTTACTATTAATATTTCGGATAACAGATATCCTTCATCAGTATGAGCACGATGTAAAATGAATCAGATCAATCTATTCTGATTATTAAACTATAGCAATCTTGAATTCTATACAATAATAAAATGCTCCGCAGGGCGCAGCTTGATACGACCGCAGTGGTCGAACCCTGAACAGTTGGGGCAAGTATGGACACAACATTCAAGCTTGATACAGCTTTGCATTTGGATTGTGATTAAATATTTGACACAGCATAGGTTTCTGACACAGAATGAATGTGGTCTAAGAACTTAAAAATTTTAAATTGGACATTCACCTATTATGGTCCAATATCCAAAATCTAAATACATGGTTAGATTCAGCATATCAAAGAACCCCAAGAATTCAATTTTTGATGAAATCAAACAAAGTTTAATTTTGGACCCTTTTGACCTCAATGTGGACAAAGTTGATAACGGGGCAACAAAAACAAAAATCTAAATACATGGTTAGATTCAGCATATCAAAGAACCCCATATATTCAATTTTTGTTGAAATCAAACAAAGTTGAATTTTGGACCCCGATTTGGACCAACTTGAAAACTGGGCCCAAAATCAAAAATCTAAATACATGTTTAGATTCAGCATATCAAAGAACCCTAAGAATTCAATTTTTGTTAAAATCAAACTAAGTTTAATTTTGGACCCTTTGGACCTTAATGTAGACCAATTTGAAAACGGAACCAAAAATTAAGAATCTAAATACACGGTTAGATTCGGCATATCAAAGAACCCCAATAATTCAATTTTTGATGAAATCAAACAAAGTTTAATTTTGGACCCTTTGGACCTCAATGTGGACCAATTTAAAAACGGGGCCCAAAATCCAAAAACTAAATACACGGTTAGATTCAGCATATTAAAGAACCCCAAGAATTCAAGAATAAAACCCCATTGAAATTGGTCAAGAAATAAGCAATTTATACGAAGTATCTTCTTTTGCACAATACTGTGCAATTAAATATTTCTTGCTATTGCGCAATACTGTACAATTGACAATTTCTTGCTATTGTGCAATATTGTGCTATTGGATATTTCTTGCTATTGCGCAATACTGTGCAATTGAAGATTTCTTGCTATTGCGCAATACTGTGCAATTGAAGATTTCTTGCTATTGTGCAATACTGTGCAATTGAAAATTTCTTGCTATTGCACAATACTTATTATATAATAATTTACACATCCTGTTTGGTGTGTATCTCCTACCATATCATTATTATTTGCTTTTAAATATAAATCAGAAATAACCAACTTAAAATGGAAAATTTTAAAAGAAAAAAAAAGGAAAAAAAGAAAAAAAAGGAAAAAAAAAAAATCCCCCCCCAAATTTTTTGAACCCCCTTATGATTCATCACCCCCAAACTCAATCCCAGCCTTCCCTTTGTGGTATGGTACCTTGCAGTACAATTTCAGAGAGATCCATACACTTGAACACAAGTTATTGTCTGGAAACTAGAAAAATGTGTTTTTTGGCCCCTTTTTGGCCCCAAATTTCTAAATGTTTAGGGCAATTACCCCCAAACTCAAACCCAGCTTTCCCTTTGTGATATGGAACCTTGTAGTACAATTTCAGAAAGATCCATACACTTACACACAAGTTATTGTCCTGAAACTAGAAAAATGCTTGTTTTTTGCCCCTTTTTGGCCCCTAATTCCTAAAATTTTTAGGCAATTACCCCCATCATCAATCCCAGCCTTCCCTTTGTGGTATGGTACCTTGCAGTACAATTTCAGAGAGATCCATACACTTGAACACAAGTTATTGTCTGGAAACTAGAAAAATGCTTATTTTTGGCCCCTTTTTGGCCCCAAATTCCTAAACGTTTCGGCAATTACCCCCAAACTCAATTCCAGCTTTCTCTTTGTGATATGGAACCTTGTAGTACAATTTCAGAAAGATCCATACACTTACAAACAAGTTATTGTCATGAAACTAGAAAAATGCTTGTTTTTTGCCCCTTTTTTGGCCCCTAATTCCTAAAATTTTGAGGCAATTACCCCCAAAATCAATCCCAGCATTCCTTTTGTGATATGGAACCTTGTGGTACAATATCAGAGAGATCCATACACTAACACAGAAGTTATGTCTGGAAGTTACAAAAATGCTTATTTTTGGCCCCTTTTTGGCCCCTAATTCCTTACTGTTGGTACCATAACCCCCAAAATCAATCCCAACCTTCCTTTTGTGGTATTGAACCTTGTGGTAAAATTTCATAGAGATCCATTCACTTAAACTAAAGTTAGAGTGCGAAAACCAATGTGTCTTCGAACGACGCCGGACGACGCCAGACGACGACGACGACGCCAACGTCATATCAATATACGACCACAAAAATTTTTTTGCGGTCGTATAAAAAAAGTGAAACAGTTTCACCCGAACATCATATGTAGAGACGCTAATAAATTTTTTAAAATTTCCAAAAAACGACTCAAAGACATGCCTAAAATGAAAATAGTAATTAGAGATATGAACTGGCACAACTCTAAAATTCCAAAATGACGTCAGTTAAGATGTTACAACAACTGCGTGTAAATACATTCCCAAAAAAAACAGCACTGATCGATATAAGCTGGTAAAATATGTCAAACAGAGGCTGCATATTTATCATCCCAAATAAATAGCAGTTTTATAATGAAAAGAAAAAATAATATTAAATTTGGGCTAAGGTTAAAAAATTGGATGTGGATGCGTACTTGTACATCCCTACCAAATGAAAAGAACCCTGGTATTTAAACTAGTAAAATTCAAAAAATTCCAAAAGAATCCTTAAAACTGTAAGGGTCAAGTAAGGAAGCCGGAGTAACTGGAAACAAATGATGTCAGGAAAATGAGTGATGGTAGGGAAAATGAGTGACTCACACTCATTATATTTTGTAGTGTACTGTATCATATTTATATGATCCATCGCCCCATAAGATTTATCGTTGGCTATTATTCAGTCATTTTATATATATATATATTCAAAAGATAAATTGTATTCTTTTAATAATAACTACAGGTACTTAATTCACTACAGGAAAATTATCTGATTATACATTCAAGATCTAACAATGAGGCAATTTTGGACAGTTTTTCCTTAAATGGAAGAAGTATGAATATTCCACATTCTCTCTACATGAGGCATCAGATATGTTCCAATTCTGACCAGATGTTGCTGCGCAGCCAAACAGACATGTCACTTTGGCAAGGATTTTACTGCCGGTTAGAAGAAGACCAAAGGATAACTAAATTTCTATAACCCTTTGGGTTGCCTTTCTTGACCAAATATCCTTGAAGTAAAGCACACATTAACAAGAGTATTTGTCTATCAGACATCACTCCATGCTCAGGTTGACTATCACATTTCCATGTTTAGTGAAAATCATGTCAAAACTCTAATATGACATATATTTTAAAACTAGAGGCTCTCAAGATCCTGTGTCGCTCACCTGTATTTACTGATGCTTTGGAAATCATGTAAAATAAGGTTAAAATCATAATTAATAGTATTAGATATTAGATATTATAATGATATCTAAGATAATAACAAAAAACTGCAAAATTTTTGTAAAATTACTAACTCAGGGGCAGCAACCCAACAACTGGTTGTCGGATTCGTCTGAAAATTTCAGGGCAGATAAATCTAAATCTGATGAACATTTTTGCCACCTGTCAGATTTGCTCTTAATGCTTTAGTTTCAGAGATATAAACCAAAAACTGCATTTTACCCCTATGTTCTATTTTTAACCATGTCGGCCATGATGGTTAGAAGGCGGGGTCATCGGACAAATTTTTTAAACTAGATACCCTAATAATGATTATGGCCAAGTATGGTTAAATTTGTCTCAGTAGTTTAAGAGAAGAAGATTTTTGTAAAAGATTACAAAAAAGGAGTAGGTCCGGTAAGGGCCGATTTTGGCCTCAAAATTCAGGTTCATCTGATGATAGATTTTGGACACTTTTTAAACACTTAAGTGTCTACTTCAGTCGATTCAATTAGTTTATGTGAAAGATTTGAACTGATTTAGTCCCTAAAGACGCTCAAATTCAAGCTTACATATGACAAATCTATCAAATGTGCCATAATATGTCAATTTTCAGATGTTTTTTGTCAGAAATGAATGTGGCCGCATCCGTGTTCATTCTCAACCTTTATATATGTTATGTATTATCATCAAATACAACTTACATTTAAATATTAAGAATGAACACAAATGCGGCCAAACCGTCTAAAAATTAACCAAAATGCTAAAATTTTGAAGATTTCAGTAATTTAGCATGACTTAATGATGCTAGTACCAGATACATGTGCATTGTATTGTCAAAAACAGCCCATATTTATGTGACAGAAGTATTCTTCTTTCCAATAAATAGCTAAAAATTTACATTTTATCAATTTTGTAAAACTGCTTTATTTTGTGGCCAAAAAGGGGTCTTACTGGGCCTACTCAACGAAAAATTATTAAAAATTGACTTTTAAGGGCAATAACTCCTTAAGGGGTCAACTGACAATTTTGGTCATGACAACTTATTTGTAGATCTTACTTTGCTGAACATTATTGCTGTTTACAGTTTATCTTTATCTATAATAATATTCAAGATAATAACCAAAAACTGCAAAATTTCCTTAAAATTACCAATTCAGGGGCAGCAACCCAACAACAGGTTGTCGGATTTGTCTGAAAATTTCAGGGCAGACAGATCTTGACCTGATAATCAGTTTTACCCTTGTCAGATTTACTCTAAATGCTTTGGTTTCAGAGATATCAGCCAAAATCTACATTTTACCCCTATGTTCTATTTTTAGCCATGGCGGCCATCTTGGTTGGTTAGCAGGGTCATCAGACACATTTTTTAAAACTAGATACCCTAATGATGATTGTGGCCAAGTTTGGTTAAATTTGTCCTAGTGGTTTCAGAGGAGAAGATTTTTGTAAAAAGCTAACGACGATGGCCACCGCCGCCGACGGAAGACGGACACCAAGTGATGAGAAAAGCTCACTTGGCCCTTTGGGCCAGGTGAGCTAAAAAAGAGAGGATAAAGAAACCAAAGGGATTTTCATACTCATAAGTCAAAAACAAACTAACAATGCCATGATAAAAAACAACCAAAAGGCAAACAACAGTACAAATCAAAGCACGAAAGCGCTGTAAAGGCAGTTAATTACAGGTTGTGTGTATTTTAAGTCCAGTTATATCATTATCTTGCATAGTACAGTGTACTTATCAGAGGTGGCTTTCAGTATTTAAGATTTAGAGTTCTCTAATGATATTGAATAAGTTTTATGAATGTCATATTCTGAGCACTATATGAAGGTGATTGTTCTCACTTGTTTATGAACTAGTGCATTATGTCCAGTTTGTACCTTTTTTATCTATTTTTTGTCAAATTAGTTATCAAAGGTACCAGGATTATAATTTAATACGCCACACGTGTGTTTCGTCTACATAAGACTCATCAGTGACGTTCAGATCAAAATAGTAACAAAGCCAAACAAGTACAAAGTTGAAGAGCATTGAGGACCCAAAATTCCAAAAAGTTGTGCCAAATACGGCTAAGGTAATCTATTCCTTGGATAAGAAAATCCTTAGTTTTTTCATTGGCAATCATAACACATCTCCTTATTTATATAATGATCTATATTCAACGACCTCAGGTACAAAAAAAATGTATGTAACTAAACAATGATGGGAAACCTTTGACTTCTTTCTTTATATAAACTTTTGATTTGGTACCATAGAACTATGTAGAGTAAATGTACATTGCAACATGTCAACTCTTTCAACTCCAAGCAAAATTATATTTCCAAGCATAAAGTAATTTATGAATGAAATAAAATGCTCCGCTGGGGCGCAGCTTGATACGACCGCAGAGGTCGAACCCTGAACAGTTGGGGCAAGTATGGACACAACATTCAAGCTTGATTCAGCACTGAATTTGGATTGTAATTAAATATTTGACACAGCATAGGTTTCTGACACAGAATGAAAGTGGTCTAAGATACTTAAAAAAATTTAATTTACCTATTCAAACCATATCATTATTATTTGCTTTTATATATAAATCAGAAATAACCAATTTAAAATGGAAAATTTTAAAGAAAAAAAAGGAAAAAGAATCCCCCCCCAAATTTTTTGAACCCCCTTATGATTCATAACCCCAAAACTCAATCCCAGCCTTCCCTTTGTGGTATGGTACCTTGCAGTACAATTTCAGAGAGATCCATACACTTGAACACATGTTATTGTCTGGAAACTAGAAAAATGCTTGTTTTTTGGCCCCTTTTTGGTCCCAAATTCCTAAACGTTTAGGGCAATTACCCCCAAACTCAAACCCAGCTTTCCCTTTGTGATATGGAACCTTGTAGTACAATTTCATAAAGATCCATACACTTACACACAAGTTATTGCCATGAAACTAGAAAAATGCTTGTTTTTTCCCCTTTTTGGCCCCTAATTCCTAAAATTTGGAGGCAATTACCCCCCAAAATCAATCCCAGCATTCCCTTTGTGATATGGAACCATGTGATACAATGTCAGAGAGATCCATAGACTTACACACAAGTTATTGTCATGAAACTAGAAAAATGCTTGTTTTTTGCCCCTTTTTGGCCCCTAATTCCTAAAATTTGGAGGCAATTACCCCCAAAATCAATCCCAGCATTCCCTTTGTGGTATGGTACAATGTACCTTGCAGTACAATTTCAGAGAGATCCATACACTTGAACACAAGTTATTGTCTGGAAACTAGAAAAATGCTTATTTTTGGCCCCTTATTCCTAAACTTTTTGGGCAATTACCCCCAAACTCAATTCCAGCTTTCCCTTTGTGATATGGAACCTTGTAGTACAATTTCATAAAGATCCATACACTTACACACAAGTTATTGCCATGAAACTAGAAAAATGCTTGTTTTTTGCCCCTTTTTTGCCCCTAATTCCTAAAATTTGGAAACAATTACCCCCAAATTCAATCCCAGCATTCCCTTTGTGATATGAAACCTTGTGATACAATGTCAGAGTTATCCATAGACTTGCACACAAGTTATTGTCATGAAACTAGAAAAATGCTTGTTTTTTGCCCCTTTTTGGCCCTTAATTCCTAAAATTTGGAGGCAATTAACCCCAAAAATCAATCCCAGCATTCCCTTTGTGATATGGAACCTTGTGGTACAATGTCAGAGAGATCCATACACTTACACACAAGTTATGTCTGGAAGTTACAAAAATGCTTATTTTTGGCCCCTAATTCCTTAACTGTTGGTACCATAACCCCCAAAATCAATCCCCACTTTCCTTTTGTGGTATTGAACCTTATTTTAAAATTTCATTGAGATCCATTCACTTAAACTAAAGTTAGAGGGGAAAACTAATGTGTCTTCGGACAACGACGCCGCCAACGTCATACCAATATACGACCACAAAATTTTTTTTGCGGTCGTATAAAAAGGAGTTCTTAATTAAGAAATAAACTGATTCGCTGAGCGCAGCTGGATACACCCGCAGAGGTACTACCCTGAACAGCTGGGGCAAAAATGGACACAATATTCAAGCTTGATACAGGTCTGAATTTGGATTGTAATTAAATATTTGACATATTATAGTTTCTGAATAAATGTAGTCAATGAACTTGAAATCGGTTATATGAATTGAATTTATATTCAATTAAAGATTTCTTGCTGTTGTGCAATACACTGTGCTGTTGTGCAATACTTAATAAATCTGTTGCCAGACTATAAACAAATAAAGTTCAATTTCTTCTCAATGTCATATTTGAAATTTATGAAAATCAATAGGGAGATTACATCAATAGCTATAAATAATTCACCAAAGTTTCATGTGAACTGCTTAAAGCATTTTTGAGTTGTTGTCCAAAAACTGGAAAATCCCCCCTTTTTTAATGAATAAAACCCCATAACTCAGAAATGTAAAATCTAAAATTTATAAAATTCTAAAGGGAGCTTACGGATTGATAATTTAGTCTTAGATGCAAGATTTTTTTATCAGTTGTTAGTGGCTTTGAACTAGCTGTCAGTAACTGCGAGTACTCTCAGATTTGTACTTAGTGTCTTTTTGTTGTTTGGATGTACAATGTACAACTACCCGACCACGTCCACTTGTATTTGTATTTATCCATCTGATGAGTTTAGCCTCTTTCAACTGATTTTTATAGTTCTTTCTTATATTGTACTGTTACACCACTGTCCCAGGTTAGGGGGGAGGGTTGGGATCCCGCTAACATGTTTAAGCCCGCCACATTCTGTATGTACATGTATGTGCCTGTCCCAAGTCAAGAGCCTATAAAAGTGTAATTCAGTGGTTGTCGTTTGTTTATGTGTTGCATATTTGTTATATTTGTTCATTTTTTTACATAAAATAGGCCGTTAGTTTTCTTGTTTGAATTGTTTTACATTGTCATTTCTGGGCCTTTTATAGCTGACTTGTGCGGTATGGGCTTTGCTCATTGTTGAAGGCCGTACTGTGACCTATAGCTGTTAATTTCTGTGTCATTTGGTCTCTTGTGCATGTGTGGAGAGTTGTCTCATTGGCAATCATACCGCATCTTCTTTTTTATATTTACATCAACAGATATAAAAAATTCACCAAAGTCAAGGTGAGACAACAAAACTTAGTTGTAAGATCTCTGAAATTTTTTACAGTGTACGAGTTTTTCTCATTGTTGGAGATTGTACGGTGACAGTAACACCTGTAACTGCTTATACCCATTTCTTATGCACTTTAGTTTGATAAACTCACTGAATATCATACCACATCTCCTTATTTTTATATGCATTACAATTTACATGTGCATGTAATTGTAAATATATATATATCAGAACAAAATTCATTGCGTCACTTTTATTTATGCATCCTTTGGCACAATACAAGTTCTAAAATTACACAACATAAAACAACTAAATGTTATTTCAGATGAAAGTTTTGTTTCAGTTCCATTCATAGGATTTATTAGAATTTTGTTGACTAAACCACCAGGTGTCGAACATTCAAGAATTTTCAGTGTTTCTGATTTTATTTGATGAAAAGGTTGCCTGAGCTCTAGGAGCTTTAGGTTTTATCACGGGATATTCTGTGCTGTCAATAATAATCCAAGTCGTAGGAAACTTTAATTTGAAGTTGGATGGTGAAAAATACCTGACTAAACCACTAGATGGCTAAGTGTTAGCCTCACACCACTGTTTAGACATAAAAACAATCCATGTATACACAATATTCTTAACACTAGATTCAATCTAGAATTTAGACAGTTCAAAGCTGGTTGTATGATGCCTCAATTTCATCAAAGTCATAAAAAAACTGATTTTCAACTGACACCCTATCAATTTGAAAATATATGTATCTCAAACAATGTGCTGCTGGACCAAGTGTGGTCAAAACAAATAAAAATTTAGTATACAACTCTAAACCGGTATAAAAATGCATGGCTGTGTCACGTGTCTTCATTTCAAAATTCTCTGTTAAAAACATAGGCATTGATGGTGTTTGCGTAATTCCATCTGTGAAGCTCAACATTAGCTCGGCAGTTGGTGGTGGACAGTCATAAATCCTTTCTGCAGTATGAATGACTTCTTCAGGAAAACCAACTTTACAATCAAAACTTTCCTCTAGATTTCTACTACAATATTCATCAAGTTTAGTTCTTTTGTTTTCACAGGAAACTGCCCTGATTTTTCTTTTTGCGGACGATTCAGTCTCTTGCTTGGTCCAGGAAAATAGGCTGGGAATTGCAGTAGACTTAAGTCTCTGTATGGTGGGTTTGCGCCCTGAAAAAGGTTATAAAACATTAGTTTTTTTATAATTAAATGAACTTCCATTAGCAATGTATACTTTGTACTACCTGGCGAAATATTAACTAGATTTATTCATTACAATCTGGATAAAACTATGTTTGCCTGATTCAATGTATGTTATGTAAATCCAAAGGACAAACAATGAGAGACTTATGCAACAAACGTACATTGTTTCTACCTAAATAACTATAATATAGATGAGAGCATGTCATTGTTTTGTTCCTGTTAACATTGTCATTGATATTTTTCAAGAAAGTCTATGAGGCATAGCTTATGCATTCCTGTCATTACTACATTAGCATAATTACTGCTAAAATAATTCTCAGTATGATATACCTCTTGTAAGAAATCATTATAATTGTAGCAATCACCAAAAAATCTCAAACAGATCACATTGAATCGTAATCCAAAAATTTATGACGTCTTGAATTACCCACCCCCTTTTATTCTAAAACAATAATTGCGGTTGTAAACAGACTTTGGTTTATTCGCATGGCGATTACATATATAACTATATATTTCACAAAGAAAATAGAGTTTTACCATGAATAGTTTCCTGCACGTAGTCTTTTTCAGTAAAACGTGCCTTGCAAACAACAGCTGATTGAGATGGACTCCACGATATCATCGTGTTCTCGTCCAATCTGCGTATGGGCCATGGCGTTGATCCAACTTTTCCTTCTTTTTAAGTCATTTGGAAATGCATGTCCTCCTCTTAAATGACATCCAGGTACGCAACAACAAGCACTTGGCATCGTTAATTAAAAATATAACTGAAATAGTTGCGCAGTGCAGAAACCGGAAGAAGAGGAACAGGATCCGCTACCACGGCGCCACCTATTCAGGAACGATAATTTGCTACTTTATATAACTGCGAAAATAACGTTAGACGGGTTCACGTGCATAAACAGAAATGCGCTTTAAATTGTATTATATAATTCATGTTCAGTCGACCTTTAATTATTATATCAACGACTGAAATGATTTATAAACATCTAGATTGCAGATAACACTCGAAATTAACCCGAGCTCTTTCCACACGGAATTCAAATAATTCTAGTTTGTCAATCGGTTGACTGCTTATAATGCAAAATACTAATATATCAAAAGTTTTTAAAACTAACAAAACACAATGATCGTTTCTCTATTTCCCAATGTAAATGAAATGAAACAAAAAACATTTTATATCGCAATAAGAAGAGGAGAGAATTCAACTTTTCCGGATCTACTTGGAGTCTAATGACCCCCCACGTAGATAAGTTGGATATCGCGGAAGGAAGGATTAACCCGGCAACTAGAAAGGCATTAAAGCACTGCCTTTAAAAACACAACATAGATAACTAAAGACCCGCAACACAAACTTGAAAAGTTTGCATCACAATGAACATGTGCTGTAAGTGTTACACATTTGGTACATCATGACGGTGTATGAGTTTAGGAAATGATAAATTCTGTCAAGAGGTTTTTACATCTTTAGAAGAAGGCAAGCTTACCTGGTAAAAGTGTAGACGATACTGTTACTTGTGTTGGTGAATTATACCATTCTGTTGAGTAAAAATTCTCAATTTTTGTCTCGTTTTGAGTACTTGTTGGCACAAGGTTATCGTAAGCAGTTGTCTTGATGGGTTCTAAATTACTGGATACAAATTCTGATTGAGCTACAGTTAGTAATGGTTCAATATATGGAACTAAAGTTGATGCTGAAACTATCCATCTACTATTTCCATAAGTTAAAGTTGCACTACTTTTAGACGTTGACACGTATGTTTCTGATGCAGCTGATTGTACTGTAGTACTGTTTGTTAAAACTACACTTTTATGTTCCATCGAGATTAAAGACGAAGAAGATGGCAAAATGTCCATTTGATTTGTTGATAAACCAGATGTGTTGTTAATATGTAGTACAAGTTTTGTAGATTCTAAATTATATGTATTTGATTTAGTAGACCAAACTGGAAGCTCCTCACTGGAAGTCTCCAATAACACAGGTTGCTGTAAATTGGAATTTAAAGTGACTGGGAAAAAATCGCTAAATTTCAAAGTTGATTTATATATCTCTAATACATTTGATATTGTTGTATCAGTACCTGATGTAACAGATGACTTTAAATCAAAAGAAATGTCTTCTGATTTGAACTCTTCTGTCATGGAGGTAGAAAATGGTTGAGATGTATTCTCTGTCAATGGAATACTCCCTATTTGTTTACTTGTTTGTATTTCAGTTTTAATATTTGTCATTTCATCAGAATTAAAGTAATTATTTTCTATTTGAGAATAAGAAGTCAAATATACCAGTTCAGTTGAGAAAACTGGTAAATTATAAAGAGATGAATATGTCAACTGGATTTTAGGATAGTCATTGGATGATACAATTTTGTCATTTGTTAAATATGACGAATCACTGTTCATAATTTCTGTAAAAGGTCGTGAACTGATAAGTAAGGTTGAAGATGTGACATCTATATTGTTATCACTTGTTGCTATTGGAATGATGGTACTATAAGTAACGGTTTCAAGACTTATCTCTTCTGACGACAATAACCCCAGTAGCAGTGATGATGATAAGTCAATCTCCTCAGTTTTAGGGTCTAAAGTTGTATGATGCTGATTATCGAAGGAACCATGAGGAATTCTTTCCTCCTCTAAAAAATTGAAATAAAATATTGTTACATGTAAATAAATATATGCATACATGTGCGGGTACATTCTTATGGACTTTTAAAGCAATCATACATTATATACATACATTGTTATATCTGCGCAAGATAAATACAATAACTTTGAATAAGACACTGTATAAGTTCCCTGCCACATCCTGTCTGTGTTTTTGTAAGATGTATTTCTGCTTTATATCGATCTGACGAGTTAAGCCCTTTTCAACTGATTTTTATAGTTTGTTCATATGTTGTACTGTTACATCACTGTCCCAGGTTAGGAAGAGGGTTGGCCCCTTCAAACATGTTTAACCCAGCCACATTATGTATGTGGCTGTCCCAAGTCAGGAACCTGTAATTCAGTGGTTGTCATATTTGTTTTTCGTTCATTATTTTGTACATAAAACAGGCTGTTAGTTTTCTTGTTTGAATTGTTTTACATTTGTCATTTTCAGGGCCATTTATAGCTGTCTATGCGGTATGGGCTTTGCTCATTGGTTTAATTTAAGATTTAAATTATTTAATTAGCAAAACAGTGAAACTTATATTTTTACACTTCAGTGATCACACTGGTTTAAACTGGAATTTTGTTAGTATATACTCTTGCATTGAAATCTACACACTAGTTTATTTCACTCTTTTTATTGGATATAATACATTCCCTTTGTTGTAAATTTCTTATTTATGCTATTGCAAAGTTTTATCTTTACTTTTTGAATTTGATATTACGTTGAAATTACCCATCCTCCCTCCTCTTTCTAAATTCTTTCGTTTTGATTAAATCTATAGTTCAATAGGCGAATGTTTGCCAAAAATTTGCTATATTTATGTTTATGTATTGATTTATATATATATTATTTTATTGTGTTTTTGTAATATTGAAAAAATATTTATAACAGGCAATACAAGTTATATATGTACCTATTGACTTCTTTTTATTTCACCCAGTTGATAATTGTTGAAGGCCATACAGTGACCTTTAGTTGTTAACTTCTATGTCATTTTGTCTCTTGTGAAGAGTTGTCTAATTGGAAATTATACCACATCTTCTTATTTTTATATTTAACTCCAGACAGTTTCAATTTGTTAAATGTATAAAAAAAAAACATTTATCAGTTAAATACGGAAAAAATTAATATAGATATTTTCAAAATTTTCCTCTAGTTACTGTCTTTTGGTCATAAACAAGCATCTGTCCAAATTTCCTAAAATTCCTTGAAAGTTTGACAAAGTTATTGATGACTGAAAAACTTTAACCTCAAACAGTATCTACTTGTTAACTGTAAAAATACTAAGTCCATTTATCAGTAAAATACGGAAAAATGAAAATAAATATTTTCAAAATTTTGCTTGCCTGGATACTGTATTTTGGTCATAAACAAGCTCCTGTCCAGATTTCCTAAAATTTCATGAAGGTTTGACAAAGTTATTGATGTCTAAAAAAACTTTAACCACAGAATGAATATTAATGTTAACGTCACAGACTCCGACATCTAGGATAACTATGTCTTGCTTTCGCGACATAAATGTTGCAGACTCAACAAAAATAGCAAACCCCAAAATAAGATTTTCACTTCATTAAAAATTTTGCAACTTATTTACTATTCAATGCTACATTTTTGTACATAAACCAAGTTCATGGACCTGTGAAGGATCAATGTAAAAATGCACAAAATTAGCATAAAATTATTAATTGATTTTTGCTTACCATCAATTGGCAAACACTTCATTCCAGAATGAGAATAAAGAACAATTAATGGATAGAATATTGAATGTTTTGGTAAAATCTGTATCTCTATTAAATAACAGTAATTCTCTAATTTTCATGCTTTTTTCAAGCCTCGCGTTTTAAATTTTAAAATTAAACTATCTCAAGTAGAGAAATATCGTAACACACTTGATGCAGTGGTGGAATCTATATATAACTTTGATAATTATGTATGTTTTACCATTTTGTTGAATAACAACAGCCAGAACAATAGCTATTGACACCACAGCCAAGAAAACACATATCAGTCCAGCAATTAAAAGTTTTCTGGTGGCCCTCTTTTGGGCTGGATCTGACAAATCCATTGATTCTTGTAAAACCATAATCTAAATGACTAAATTGTTTCTACCACCATTCCAACGTCAACTGGTGAAAACAATACTGTAACATATATGATTCGTAAATTCAATTGTAAAGACTTGAAATGAATTTCCAAACTTCAATCTCCTGAAAAATAAATTATTCTTGATTAATCAATGTTTTTATATTTCAGACTAAATTAATAAATTAAAGCTCAAAACAATTTCCAGGACAAAATTAATTTTCTGTATACATGTATGTTACTTGATATATCTATACATGTGTGTATACATTCTCCTTGAATCACATCAACATGATTTACAGCAATATTTTTCTACTTGTTTGTCCTGACAGCATAATTATAAGGATTTAAGGATATCGCAGAAAATTTCAGGCAAATATCTTTATATCATATCCACTCTGAAACTCTTAGTTCTGCCATCACCTCACTTTTCTCTTAAGGTTGAGGAACAGTAAATGGGCTATGTCACAGATTTTGGTAAAATTTTGCATACAACTTTGGATCGTTGAATTATATCTTAAAAACTGAAAAAATAATGCATTTATCTCTATTATTTACTGAAATATTACTGATCAAATTCTTTCAAAATACCCGGTAGGTGATTATTTGTATAGAAAGCATATAAAATCGACAAAAAACATTTTAAAATTTGTTTCAAAATCATCAATTATTTTATTTTTAATATTAGATTTTTCTGAAAAAAACTATATGTTGTTTTTTATTGTTACCTGCATTAATTGCTGCCTGCAAAATTTTACATTTGCAAATTATGTTGTTTTTGTGTGTAGCATCAGGATACTTTATACTGTCTTTGTCCCTTATACATGATTATTTATTGAACACAGCAATGATAAATTGACATCACATTTATACACACTAATATATAGAATTCGTTTAGCTATTTACATGTATTTTGGTGGCACTTCCTGCACATCCAGTATGTAACCTTAGGTGACATTTTGAAAAAATTCTACCATCATGAAACTTAAAAAAATTAGGCTAACAGAATCCATGTATATTTAAATTCAGAATAAATTATATCTTTATTTCTGATCTCTTTTTTTTTTGCTTTGGACGGTGCTCCAATATTTTTTTACAAGAACTGCTTCTACATGTATATACTGCACAAAATTTGCATCTTGGAACTGTTGTAGTTCATTATTAAAATTTTGAAAGGATATAAACTTTTCACAACTAAAAATTGGACATCTTGCTAATTTGTATCCATACTTAAGAATAGTGAGTTGTTTTAATCGACCCCCTATTGCAAAAGCGAACGTCATATTGGCCAATGCATCTGGAAGTTTAATCATGTTAATGTTTTTTAACATCATAATTTAAGTGCTCAAATTTATTTCACAGATTTCGCAAATCAAACATTTTTTAGATTAGTGCCTGCCTGAATACATTTTGTGGGTAATAATAACTGCAGGTAACAAAAAAAAATGATATTGGTACCTGCAATTTCAGTATGAAAGCAGGTCCCTATCCGGAAATTATATATCTCAATTAATCTCGGAAGAAACAAAAATTATTTTTTATTATACTTTTTGCTGGAAATTGTAGCCAGTGCCTTTATTAAATTGCATTATTACCTTTAAGCTTCATGGTAGAAAATTGTGCTTTAATAAAAATTTCATATCAAATTCTGTAAGTATTAAAGATCAATGTTGTATGGACTGAATCCACAAAGGTTTGACAAAGTAATGACTTAAAAAATTTCAACGATAGTATGAACCTTAATGTTGACAAAACTGACAACAGAATATAGGATCATTATGTCTTGTCTTTGAGACTTTTTCCACAAGTGAGACAAAGTCAATGTAGCTAACTATAAAGTCCTACAATATTCCAAGAATTTGTATACAAATCCTTGAATATTCACAACTTCTATAATCAAAGAGCTTGTGAGCTCTGAGGGAAAAGATGGCCATGGTTTCTTTTTTTTTGGGTATCAATATTTAGAGAGAGAAAAGTACAGTTTAGCTAGCCACTGTGAAATACTTTGAATTTCAATATGGTGGACGAGGTCAGATTATTAAAAGTCTTTGTGAAGGCAACTTTACTTATACTCACAAATACATTTTTAACTAACTTAATAAAATGCAACTAAAATGACAATAAGCATGATAAGAGTGCACATGCTGAAATGTCTTGCTGTCTTTACTTGATTAAATTAAATTTCATACCATACACCAAATAAAGTTGGCCTATTGCATATACTCAGATACTGTAAGCCAAAGGGCCAGAAAAACAGACCTGATTGCCAAAATTGAACATTGACTAAATAACGTACCATAAAAAAAAATGAGATCAAGGTCTAATGAACCTTACCAGACAGACATGTACACCTTACAATCATTCCTTACAACAAATATAGTTGACCAATGCTTTACTGTATTTGATAAATGGACAAAACCATGAAAACTTGCCAGACAGACATGTCAACTTATAATCATTCCATGATATGTACCAAATATAGTGGCCCTATGGCTTATAGTAATAGAGCCCAACAGAAAAACTTAAAACATTGTCCAATGAATCCTAACTTAAAAAAAAAGTCAAGGTCAGATGAAACCAGTCAGACAGACATATACACCTTACATTCATTCCACACACCAAATATAGTTGACCTACTGCTTATATTATCTGAGATATGGATATGACCACAAAAACTTAACATTGATCACTGATCCATGAAATGAGGTTGAGGTAATGTGAACCATGTCTGACGGATATATGTAGACCTTGCAAGCATCCAATATACCAAATACAATTACCTAATTACTCATCAGGGAGTATTTCACAGAGACAAAAAAAACTACAAATGTAAAACAAGCATTCTGAGAGTATTGCATGGCAATACATAGTCAACTACCAGTTAAAAATTCATTGCACTGGAACAACTAACTTGATCTATAACTTGTCCTGGTGTTAACATGGTTAAACTAATTAATGAATATCAAATCAAAATCTTCAAGCATGACGAAAAAAAGCGTGGAAAACTGATTATATGCGTGAATTTCCAAAGTCCGAGGACCATAACGCTGCCAAAAAATCATCCGACCGAATAAAATTCAAACTTGATCTGTACCTTGTCATTGTAAAACTATAAACCAATACCAAATCAATATCTTCAAGTATAATGAAAAAAATGCGGAAAACTGATTACTTGCCTGAATTTTCTAAATCCAAGGAACATAACTCTGCACAAAATCATCAGATCGGAACAAAATTCAAGCTTGACCTGTAACTGGTCATGATAAAACTATATACCAAATATCAAATCAATATCTTCAAGCACGAAGGAAAAAAGTGTGCAAAACTGATTTGCCAGACAGACAGCCGGCCGGAGTAAAAACCTGAATTTCGTCGATAGGGGACTAAAAATATTCAAGCAGTTGCTTAACCATGAAAATGGCAATAGACATATGACAGACATGAAACTTCATAACATAAGAATATAAGGCATTTGCATACAAAGTATGAAGCATCCAGGTCTTCTACCTTCTGATAGTGAAATATAAAGCTTTATATACAAATAGTTTATTCGGTCACTGCCGTTGGATTGTAATCTCTATGTCTTCCATTCTGCGACTTTTGACACATGACATGTGAGACAAAAAGATCAAGGTTTAATGAAAATTGATTAATATACTTATGATCTAAGAGACTGACCATCTTATTTCATTGGGAAGACCTGGAAGGCAAAATTGGAATTATTCTTTATTTTTCCCACCTTGAAGAAAAATAAATTCAAGACCCCCTTCCAAAAGCCATGAACTTTTCAACACCCCTCCGGGCTCCCTACAAATTACTCAATACTTTAATACTGCCTGTTTCTTCATTCACCCCCTTATGGATTAAAGGTTACATTAGCTTATTGGCCCCGAGACTTGAAGAGTTAAGCGCCAATACATATGATCATGAATCTATAATAAGGCCGATACAAAAATAGCCAGTTCATAAGACTTTTATTACATGATACACATTCTTTGATTAAAAAACTAAGAAACTTACTGTTAAATACATTGTAGGTACAGAAAATCACATTTCAGTCATTTGAACTTGCCTCTTCCCAGTCACGACAAATTGTTTTGTTAATTATATTGTTGAGATATCTGACTTCCAGTCCAGGAACTTAATATTAATCTAGGCTAATGCAATTCTATTTATCTAGCAAACATACAATGTAAAGTACTTCATGGGAAGAATATTCAGACATGTTTTTTTTTTGTCGACGGAATGATAATTAAAATTTCTACTCAGAAAGGTTGGGGAATGTTTCTGCAAATCGTAGCAAAAAGGGATCATAATTAAATTTTCTTGTCATTAAAATTGAAGAATGTGCTTTCCAATTTCTTTTAAATGCATCTACATCCAGGTTAAGATTCATCTAACATAATTTGGAAGCGAACATTTGCAACCAGAACTGAAAATAATGTATTGCTTTTTCGGCCTTTCCAGTATCAGACTGGGCCGAAATGCAAAATTTACTAATGATTTACGTCAACAGGGCAACGTCACCAGTATTACACATGCTGATTTATCCGTATTAGGACTGATTTGCTCGTATCATTTAATAAATATAAATATTACACGAGGAACAAAGTTGCATACATATAAATATTCAATGAGGGACGAAATGGTAAGGGTATCAAATGACTATAATCCATTACATCATGACAAGAAAACAACGCCACCGATATCCCAATAACAGTCTGTTAGCTTTTTTGCTTTGGTTAAGTACCATTTTAAGAAACTTCAGTTATAATTATGTTTAATAAACAAATACTGATTTTAAAATCGTACACGATTTCTGCGAATGATTTTATAACTACATTTGTAAAAGAGAGGTGAAGGATACCAAAAGGACATTCAATCACGTGCATTCATTATGAGTACAGGATATCCCTGTGGAATTTCCATGGTTGGATATATTTAGAATATTTCGTAATACTTTTTCCGGATTGTAAAAGAAACGTCAATAGTGAAAGGGAGAACTAGAGATACGATAATTTCATGAGAAACAGGAGGGAAATGTTGAACACAGTGTTTAAAGTCGATCTTTTCTTTTGCTTATCTCCTTCTCATCAACATGATCAAACCAGTATGAAATTTGATTTTTTTTTTAGAACTATAAAATACAAAATGGTTGACGTGAGAGGCTTGGAAAGTAGAACATCTGGCCATCCAAATAGGGAATTGACGGCTTGAAGCTGTCTTTTCCCAAAAACCTAGGAGTAAGGACTAATATATTGCAATGGTTCCAAACAAAATGCAGTAGTTCATATTAATGTTATATCAGATATATTAAATAACAGGAAATTCGTTTTTTTAACAATTAATTATGCTACTTACTCAAAGAATGTACTCAAGTGTTATATTCATGCACAAGTCAAGACGTCTTTGGGTAGCGGCAGGTATTTGTGGATTGTTTGTAACAAGGATATTTCATTTTGATCATGCTTTTCTGATAAGCTGTAATTTACCTTTGATATACAAATCGCAATAAATATTTGCGTATCTTTATATTAAGAGTAAATCTGTTTGTAAACACAGAAGCAAACTCTCGGATTATCATCTACAATTTTCTTGTTTACACAGGAAGTCAAAAAATTAAATGTGAGACCGTATTTGGTTAGAAAATTCCGGCGATTAAAAAATGGTGAAAAACAAACTGTGTGCTGTTTAAAATCAAAAATGCGAGTTCTAAGTTGGCGCAAACAAAAAAGATATCACAAAAAATGAAATAAACGCCGAATCTGACGATACAAAAACTGCTTCTAGGAAAAATCATGTTGATAAAAGAGGGGTCTCATTTTCTCGGGCAAATCCCGTTATTTTTGTAAATTTTTCCCATTTCCCACTTTTTTCCTTTTCACAAGTTTTCCCGGAGCCCACTTTTTCTACAATCTATATATCTCACACCCCTATTTTTAAGACCCTGTATCCCATATCCCTACCCTTTTAAATTTTTACACCCTGAGTCACATTCCCCGGCACTTCAGTTTCAGTTATGATCCTATATCCCAAATCAACATTTATTTTTTTACCCCGGTACTATATACCGGCCACATAGAATAAATCATCACGTTTTTTATCAAACCAGAGACTTTTTGTACACTATTGCGTTATATGCCTCTGGTCCAACATACTCTGTATCGTTCAGAAATTTGGGGATCCCGGCCTAAAAATTAATTAGGCCTACTGGTAAATCAGGTCTTTAAAAAATTCCACAAGTAGCGTGAGATACGGTTGTGGAATATATTAAGTGATGGCATTAATTTGCAAAACAGACTAGTAAAAGAACATTATGACTAAGACTGCTATAACATATCTATTGTATTATTGCTTGTGTAAAATACGACCATTTAATTGTAACTTTACTTTGAGGTAGATATTTGCCGAAATGTTTGGTTATGAGCTATTCTTGTTCTAATATCTGTTGGTATTAGGACTAGCGATGGAATTGCAATAAGTCCATGGATGACTTTATAGAACATAATCAGTCTGATTTTGAGGCAAGTGCGGGCCATTCAAGATTGTTAATTATGGACATAACGGGTAGCACGTCTCTCTACCATTTCTAGATTGTTTTTGTATGTGAATCTGTACAGTTTTTAACCTTACGTGTGCAATTGAATGTTTACTTTGCTTATGGCCAATAGTAACACATAAATATTTTCTCTCTTCTATTAGGGGCTTTATCAAATGCCTTAGAAAAATCTAAAAGATTTACATCAATTTGGGTTCCATCTTCCAAAGATTTAGCAAAGTTTTGAATAGTTATAATAAGTTTGGTTTCTTATGACCTCTTACTTCGAAAACCGTGCCGTGGAATCACATTTAAAACAGTACCAGTTACATTAGGTGTGCCCCAAGGAAATGTCTTTGAGCCTATACTCTTTTTAACATACATAATTCATTTTCCAGAATACCTCAATCACAGCAAGTTAAGACTTTTGCCAATAATAATATTAAATACCGCAAAATAACATGTCAACAAGATTGTACATAATTAAAAGCAGATCTTGATGCGGTTGCTTAATGGGAGGCTGATTTGGCTGATTGGTCTTTCATCCTGGCAAATGTACTGCTCTAACCATCACACCGAAAAAAAAACATTTATTGATAAGCACAATTACATCCTGCATAACCATACTTAAGAACCAGTAACATCAGCAAAAATATCTTGGAGAACCTTACAGTCAAAAATCGACGATATCGACATTTGGGTATGTCTTGGACATGTATGGAAATCGCCGCCTCCCCCGTCCCATTGCTTATGAGATGTTGGTTGGACATCATCTCAATTTCAAGCTATCAAACTGAAACACTTTGTATATCATAACAACATCATTATCACGAAAAATACACATTTAATATAACTGGGTGATTTTTATTTTTTAAGCAAGTAAAATAACTGAAAGCTGTACTCGCATACGAAGCGACCTTGTCTCTATGCTTTTCTGGAATAGTAATGAATAGCTGTATGCAATATTTACCAATCCCATTTTATACTGTTCATATGAAATAATACAAGTTACTATAAAACCTCTTGATACCACATTTAAGAACATGAATACCACTTGAACTTTTACGGAAACCATTTTGAATAAACTTACAAACCTTAATGAAGATGGTGTTCACGTATATATTATTATTACTGTTTGAAGTTTTTAGGATAATTAAGTCAGGTGCAGGTCAGTATGATAAACATGTTTCATTCTGATTTTTAATGGTTTTATATGAATATATACTTGTAGAACATATATGACAAACGCGCTTTTATAAATGTGATACAAAGAAATATTGAAAGTAAAAACTGCATATTTTTATAGCTACAATACCATTTGAGAACATATTGCATACGAACAGAAGAAAAGGGCATACTATATATAGATATGTACATATTTTATATGGTGATTTTTATTCAAAAGCATGATAACTATGTGCAGTGTAAAACACACATCGTCACTGGCCAAATATCCGTTCTCATTTTTTGTGTCCTTTCGTGATATTGATGCCAAGCCATATAAAAATAAGGAGATGTAGTATGATTGCCTATGAGACAACAATCCACTGAAGTTAAAATGAAGTGGATGTAACTAATTATAGGCAACCGTACGGCCTTCAACAATGAGAAAAACCCTATACCGTATAGTCAGCTATAAAAGGTCCCGACATGAAAAATACGAAACAATTCAATAGAGAAAACTAACGGCCTAATTTATAAAAGACATTTACAAAAAAACAAATATGAAAAACATGAACCAACAACCACTGAACTACAGGCTCCTGACTTGCATGGGACAGGCACATAAAGAATGGGGCGGGATTAAACATGTATGTGAGCGCTCAACCCTCCCCTAACCTGGGACTGTGGTGTTACAGCATAACATACGAACAAACTGTAAAAATCACTTAAAAAGGGCTTAATTCATCAGATTGATACAAAGAAGAAAAACATCTAACAAAAACACAGACCGGACGTGGAAGGGTATTTATACATCCCTAACAACACAAAAAAACACAAAGTACAGACCTGAGAGTACTCGCAGTTTCTGGCAGCTAGTTCAAAGCCAATAACAACTTATAAAAAATCATGCATCTAAGACTAAAATATCAATCAGTACACATCCAACATCCAATGGATTTAGTGTAATGACGTCATTAACAGTCAGAGAAAAACATGATCTTGCCAAAATATATGTATCGACAGATTGTAGTACCTTGAAAGTGCATATGTGTATATTTAGTATGGTTTTAATATACTGATAACAAAATCAATATCTATACCAATACAAACAATATTCAAAGATCTAATTACAGTGTTGAATTGGTAACCTTTTAGAATAAGTTTATTTAAAGGATTGATAAGTTTAGTTTACCCGGATCGTATCTAAATTTCCAGACTCGGTAAAACAACATCATCATAAAAACTAGGATGTGCTATTCCGTTTGAAATTAGAGTTCTACAGGTACAGCCAAACTTGTAAACCAAATCTTTGTATCCATAGAAGAATTTAGTAAAGGTTTTAAGTTATTTGTTGTAACGAAATCCCTACCAGTAATACATAAGATTTAAACGCTCATTGATATCCAAAACTTCACTACAGAAACGGGCATAGCGAACAATCTGGGATATATAATCCCCGTAAGACGGTGCCAAAGGAACATCACCATTCAAAAAAGAAAAAATTACAATGGGGAAAGAAAAATCGTCCCTTTGTCGTACATTTTTGTGTAGAGTTTCTTGTGTAAAACTTAAATATCTAAATTTAGGAAAGGACAATTGTTGCTATTAATATTTGATTTATTCAAAGTAAGTTCGTTTGGGTAAATTTCGGCAGTATATTTCGCGATTTCTTGATTATTTAACGAAAAAATATCATCAAGATAACAGTAAGTGTTGTTGAATTTATCAATTAAATGGAATTTAGACGGGTCTTTACTGAGTTTGGCCATAAACTGTGATTCAAAACAGTACAGGAACAAGTTTGCTATTAAAGGGGCACAATTGGTGCCCATAGGAATACCTACAATTTGTCAATAAACTTTATTACCGAGACGTACATAAATGTTTTAAAGGAGAACATTTACAGCTTTAATCATCTCATCAGACCTCCAGTAAGTATATCTAGCATATTTCCCTTTCACATTTGAGAAAAAGGCTTTATATGATTTGCAGCAAATGAATTTGCAATCAGATTTATCAAACAACCATTCAATTAAATAGGAAAACTTTTGTTTGATAAGATTGAGTAGAAGTGTAGTTTAAAGAGTGGAAAAGTCAAAATTTTCAACCCGGGAGGGGAGGGTAACTTTCTTTTTTTGATGGGATCAAAATATTTTCAATCAAAACATATACTGATTTGAAAGCACTTTAATGTCAACTATCAAAATACCAGAAGGGTTTTAGTTTGGCGTTCTTTTATTTTTCTATATTTTTAAAGGACAATGGTCATTCGTTTTGCATTTATGAATTAACTCACCTGGAAAAACGTATCGCACCACCCTGCTTCGTCTCAGAAACCAAAATATTGTAGCATATTACCACATTTATGTCTCCAAAAGTATAGAATTCATGCAATTCTGTGATTGACAAGACCATAGACATAAATAAAATAAAAATGTTGAAGAAAAAAAAACGAATTTAGATAACTACAATTTTTGTCTTGGGTACTAAACATGGACAATGTTTAATTTTGATTGCCTATTGCACAATGCCTTTTGTTTGAAAACGAGAATATGTGTCAGTGGTTACAATAAACACAATGTCCAATACTGAGTGAAACAACCGAAACACCGACACTAAAACGATGAATTTGGTAGTCTTTGCCATTCCTGCTGCAAAGCTTAAGAAACTAATTGAGATTCTGAACAAGCTATACTCTCTTATATACCAAGTAAGTCCCAGATATTCCCAATCGATGATTTATCTCAAACTCTGAGAATGGCAGGAATGGCAAAGACTACAACAACAACAACAACAAATTTGACGCTTACGTGGAATGAGAAGACGGTAAGCATCGATCGGGGTTCGTGTGAACGGTGGTTTCACTCAGTATTGGACACTGTTGTGTTTATTGCATATATATAATGGATATACATATTAACCGTTTAGATAGTTTATATTTCTAAAGGGGCATTAGCTACGAGATATGAAAAAAGAATTAAATGTGATTTTTTTGTTCCATCATTAATGAAAGTGATATAGTGAAATAATAAATCGCTTTTAGCAGCCAATTTGATTCAATTTTGTCAAAATAGGCTAAGAAACATCGTTGATGAATTATTCACTTGCAAGTGAAAATTTTCAACTTCATTGAATCCGTATTCATGTGACCTTCAATTGAACCCCTTATCTGGAAATAGGCTACGCATATATTCAGCTATTAAAAGGAAAAGAATGTCGGCATCGAAAGTGAAACAAGGATGAACCATTTGGTTGACTTATTCGAACCACCAAAAAATCATTCTTATACAGGTAAAACGATGGTAAACATACTTTTTAACCTTCAATTTGAAATCAAACAGACCTACAAAAATCCAATTGCACGTGGACGCTATCTGTTTATATCTATAAAGATGTTTTATATCGGGTTATATGACTGTCGGCAATCTTCGGAGGTCAACTCAATGGTTAATTAGATGACGTCTAGGCAAAAATACACACGAAATGTTGATATATATATCATCTCGGTGCATTGTTAATTGTTTATTTTAGACGTTTTGTAATTTGTATATACGTTTTAGTATGTTATAAATCAAATATGAGAATTTGAGTCAAATCGGTGAACATGAATTTGACAGCTAATGCCCCTTTAAAAGAAACATTTTCAAGAGTTACTGGTGATCGGTAAAATGTTCTGATTTTTTTGTATTCGAAAGTCTGTACAAGTATCTTTGTTACTGCCAGTAACTTTCAATGTTTTGATACAAAATGAATTCATTCAAGCCACACATTCGAACATATTTCAGTAAACTGTGTATGTTGCGAAAATGTGCACATTATAGGATGCTTAGAATACTCCATTTGATGGTCAAATAGAAATAGGAAAACATTTTACATCAATTTATGCTGGAAAAATAGCTAAAATAAAGTTAATATTTCATTTTATTTCATATCAGAACGTTATACAAAACGAAAGAAAGTTTTGTCCAAGCGGGATATTATACAATAGAACAATATAAAACCAGGTCAGAATGGCGTGATTTAACAATTAAAAGTGTTGAGTAATTAGCATTGCTATGGGTTATAATATATAATATACATATACATATATAATCATGTATAAAATACCGTCAGTGTTGAGTTTTCTGTATATGGTAATAGAATTAAGCATTTTATTTATGCAGTGATATTTTACATTTATACATTCACTATTATTGTTTTATTCAGATACTTCAAGTACTGGTTGTGAAACTCCAAGACCCCTTATAAATGGAAACTTTACTATTTTTGGTGACAACCTCTTAGTAGAATATTTTTGTGATGATGGATTCTATATGTACGGTGAACGCTATGGCGCTTGTATGTTCTCAGAGGAAAAGTGGACTGAAGACCCTCCTAAATGTTTAGGTAATTTTTATTTTTCTGATAGATAAGGACGAGAGTATAATCCTTTGAAAATTGATGCAAAATCTTATATTAACCAACCAAAACTTTCCCTCAAATGCGTATTTGCCTTACAAGATCTAACAATGTGTACAAAGTTTTAAGCGCATTAAGAGTCACATTGAAAAGGTAGGTGCCGACTAGGTCAACCGGCTCCAAAACCAAATGAGCTTTATACTGGACGTCAGTGAATCTAAACATTGTATCTACTAACACAAATACAAAGTAGGGTCGAATAATGGAATCCCTAAGTTTCAAATATACACAAGAAATGGCGCATATACTTCTCCCCAAACATATACAATGGTCAATGCAAAAAATTATGCTAAGATACCGTTGAAATATGATCTGATAATGAACTAAGTTTAAAGTAAATATATCTAATGGTGAATAAAGTAAATCGTAAAGATGATGAATCACGAATAAAATCGTTACGCCAAGTGCATGTAGGGATATTGAGCCAGGAATACATTCACTATATTTCTTTTAAACCACGTTAGAGAAGTTGTGTTGTGAACGTTGGGCCTCTCTTTTTATGAGTTGTGATTTTCCCTTTGGTATCTTCCGCCTATTATTTTGGATCAAAACAGAGTTAAATTGAAAGTACAAACGAGACTGTTGATGAAAAGTGTTTCTCAATAATCCGAAAAAGATACAATAGCCTGGAGCAAATTAGGAGATAGTTTGAATAGACAGAAGGAAGAATAGAAAGACTGAATCCTATTCACTCTAACCGCCCCATCAAAAATTGATGTGTAAGGAGGTCCAAACTGGTTGTTATTTATTTAAAAGCATATTCACAGACTGTTTTGTACAATATAAGATTAGTGAGTGCTGTTACATAATATTATTGGAGTTTCTATTGTTCCGGGCAGCCGGAAGAATAGTTAAAATCTATATTTTTCCGGCCATCCGTTTGTGGATGCGCAAATGTTCAATATCAACAGAGGTGTCATGTGGCGCGGAAAAGTATCCAGCATATGAGGTGTCGGATTGCAAATACGCGTATGCAATGGACGTTTTGAGAATTGGAGATTGTGATTTATATTTAAAGATGTACTAAAGAAAATAAGAGAGAATGTAATTGCTTTAAAACAAATTTCTATAGGACAGACACCAGAACAATCGCGTGTGCAGGTAAACTGAGAGGAATAAAGCGTGACATCAAACTGAAATTGTTGATATATCCCATTACCTTTACCTGTGTCAGAGACATATAATACAATTGTATTATATGTCTCTGCCTGTGTCAATGGAGGCAAAACGCATAACAACAATTCACAGAAAAACGACTAAATCAAATGTACTTAGATGCATTATTTCTGAGTTCTACTACAACGGAGATCTATGAACATGCACTGATATGCCTTGACTAGGAATAGTATACCAGGGTTGGGGTAAACCCCATTTTTTTATTTGTTTTATTTATTTTCTCAATAATACTTTGGGGGAAGTTTACATGTGCCTACCCTTTTCTCATATTTTCTATGTGTTAAAAATCACCAAACATTTTGAATAAAAAATCGTACAAAATCATTTGACGACTTCATTGGAACCAAACTTAAATTCAGGATCTTCTTTGGGAGATTGAAGCCATAAATCAGTGGCCGGAAATTCATAGGTAGAATATAAAAAAAGGAGAGGCATTTTTGCGATGTTGATATTCTTTTTTTAATCTCATTTTACAAGCTGTTTATATTTACGGGGAATCGGCGTGTTCCATAAAACAGCCAGTAGAAAAATAAATCAAAGTTGGTACTTGAGGAGTTTATTCCCATAATCATTCTGTTTTTATTTTTATTTTTCATTATAACTAATTTCCAGAACGTTTTATCTTGAGTTTATAATCAGTAACGTCCACTCGGAGAACGTGCAAAAAATGAATAGTTCGGAACTTCCAATTCTCAGTGTTTGCATGAGAGGAAATCTTTTGCTACTACATTCTCCATTGGATGCTACAATAACCACTTGCATGTAACCAAAAACATATTCATTGTTCATTGTTATGTATGGCCGGTATTATAGCATAATATCAGAGAAAAGCTGTTCTTCAGGATTGCCGGAAGAATAGACATTTTTGCTATTCTTCCGGCTAGCCGGAAGAATAGCCACTGCCTAATATTATTGTATATGTATACATATCAATTTATTACATAATCAATTATAATGATATGCATTCAATACAACAGACGCTTGTATTTCAGTTTTCTCTTTTTATCTGCTGTAGCTTATGACTGTCCACCTTTAGACCCTCCATCGAGGGGCTTTGTCAAGATGGAGAGAAATAATTCAATTGCTAGATTTTCATGTAAGCGTCGCTTCTATCTGATGGGTGGAGAATCTACTCTATTTTGCCTTGGAAGCAGATGGAGCGGCTACTCCCCTCTTTGTGTAGGTATGTTGGTTTTTATTTGTACACATTTGCGCTGCCACAAAGGTAAAAACTAAACAGGCTGTCTCACAGCTATTATATCAATGGTTGTAGTTAGAATTAAATTTCATATGTAGCAATTTCCCGAACAGACTGTGTTAGAAGACATGATCAACGAGCTTGTAATGCTCGAAATGTAAATGAGCTTGATTTGAATACCTTCTTTTCAAAATTAGATCCCCGCAAGTGGAATTAATATATTATTACCTAAAAAAGAATAAATTTGATTTTACGCTCTCAAAGAAACGTATAAATGAAAAAGAATTTATAAGAGATGGCATATGGAGTGTTGACCCCAAACTACAGTTACACTTTGTCAGCAGTCAACCTAATAATATATACAGTGTACGTTTTCTACTTTTATAATTAGCCTTGTGAAAACAACAGAAAATGCGTTGATTCTTTGAAATAAATTTCAAGCTTATCGTTTTTTTTATTCGAATAATTGTAATATCTATTATGTTCATTCAACCTTTGACCATTGTAAAAATACAGTAGATACAAACAGTGAAGAATATCTGAATACAATGGATTGATCAATAAATGGATACTAATGTAACGTGAAGATTGTGGATTTGCTCAGTGACTTGCTTTCACTTTCAGGTTCCACAGTAAGCAGTAGTTCCTTGGGCAGACAGGTTTTACGGAACTACACTGCACTGGATTTTGATGATTCGCTGAGGGGAAGCGATGAAACATGTTCACGCTATCGACGCCTCGCCCCTCCAGTAGTAGAAAATGCTTCATTCAAAACACGATACATGTTCAATGAAGCTCTAGTTGTGTGGTCATTAGTGGCAAACTACACGTGTGATGATGGATATTCACTTGAAAATGAGGAAAATAGATTTATGTTCTGCAGAAACTACAAATGGTGGGCGCCTACTAAACCTAAATGTACAAAAGGTAACTTTTAACTAATTAATTAAATCAAAAGATTATATTCGGCTGTATTCAGCTGTAAGATTACTTGGATGTAGAGAAAACAATATTTCCGTGAGCATGAAACGTATTTATGGAATGACATTCAGGAGGTTCCATTGAGATTAGAAAGTTCTTTTGTTTTATGCCTAAGCAATGTAAAACAAGCATGATTATTAAAAACAATGAGAACAAAACAGAAGACCCAAAATCCGTCCAAGACCCATTTTGACCATGCAACTGTTATTTTAAGTACACTTACTGACAGTGTACAAACAGACGATATATCATTTAAATTGGACCGGCTCCGAGTCACTGTTGGCTGGGAAAATGATACCTTCGAGGACTTAAAGAGTCCACCAGCCGCGGTATTGATTCAGTAGTAGTTAAAAAGTGACCTTGTGCTGTTTTCTGCTCTTTGGTCGGGTTGTTGTCTCTTTGACACATTCACCGTTTCCATCTCAATTTTATATAGGCTCCATCATGACAAAATGAGAGAAAAACAAAGGCCTGATTTATGCCCACAACCATAAACTCAAAACGTAGCAAGAAAAAGATTATTTAATCAAAGATGAAAAAAAAACTGTCTTGATATTTTAATATAAAATTATCATTTTTTGGTGGTTTGTAGCAGCAAACTTTTACCATCCTTGTCGTGCTAGTAGATGTGGTCAAGTGTGTATACCAGGGGACAGCAAGCACTATGCATGTGGTTGTAATAGAGGATATCGATTGGCTTCAGACAGCTATTCTTGTCAAGGTATATTTTTTATAAAGTGTTGTCATGAAATAGAAGTCCCTCTAAATATAAGTTCCAAATGGAAGAAATATTCTATATAATATATTATTTCCATTGGAACAAATATTACAGTATTTGTTGCTAACGGAATTAATGGTGTTAGTTATAACATAATTATAAATATATCTATTAGCAACTTAACATGAGTTTATATAAGTGCTTTTTAAATTGTTTTTGTCAATTTTTATTACAATCCAAACTATGAACATTCTGCCATTAGAAACCTTGTCTATCCCTAAACTGCGATATCCAACTATGTCAGTTTAGCATTTTAGAAACGAAACAAGAAATTTACCCTTGAGCAAATGTTTAGAATTAAACTAAGTATATTTCATACAAGAGACCATAGCAAAATAAAACTGAATTCGGCAATGATATCAAAATAACGATTACTAACCATTATTTTCTTATCGAATTTGACTCTATTTATAATTGTCACAATTCAAATTCCAAACCTTATTGCACGATTAAACATGTTACCATCTTAAAATAACATCAAAAACATAGAGTATCTTATGGTAAAGGAAGAAGTACAGGGCACAATGTTCGGCTTACTATTTTACATTTTTGGTCCAAAAACTCTTTTATTATATTTTTTTGCAAATCTGCATATGATGAGGATCAACAAATTCATATTCTGTATATATAACAATAAGAGATCAACAACAAAAGGTTCTTGAGAAAAGTTCCGCTTTCGAAGATTAAACTTTTCTAGACAAACATTTAATGTTTTCAGAGAAATTCTATATTTGAAAATCTTATTGCACACATACACATTATCAGAAACAACACTTTGTAACAATAAAAGCTATAAGTTTTATTTAAAGAGGAATTTAGCGACAAGATATATATCCCAAGTTTTACATTTTCGGTCCTTAAATTGAGCATGTTAAGCGAAATTGCATAAGTAAAAGACCTTATGTCTCATCTATAATAATTGCTTATATATAATAAGAGACAATTCTAATAGAAACAGAAAGACTAAAACTGACTGACGGGCAAACCAACAACACATATCGTCAGGGTAATTAAATTAAAAGAATTTCAATGCAGAAAAAAACACCGTAATAAATGAAGCTAACGATTTGAAAAAAATCACAGAGATTTTAAAAGATTTGCCATTGCTGCCAAATTCCCATGCATGAAAATCCCCAAAACTCGTTATCAATAAATAAAATATGATTTAACGAAAGAAATCACCCACGAGGTTCAGATCCTTCCCTTTTTTTTCTTTTTTTTTTTGTGATTTTTTCAATTTTCGGTTAAAAAATTTACCTCGTTAGCGAAATAATTTGAAAATCTCATTGATTATTTACACATGCTTTTTAAATGACAATTAAAAAAAAATAGGTCAAAATCTCAAATGTCCGGGTTGCAATATTTGTGATTAAGTTCCAAAGTCCTCAAACAATTCCATAATAGAAGTACACAAATTAGGTACCAACACCCCTTCCGCCCGAAATCACTATACTATAGCCGGTTTAGGACTTTGGCCAACCCAGTCAAAAACTATAGCACAAATTGTGCAGCTTGAAAGCGAATATCCTACAAACCCAATTAAAATCTACACATGCAAAGGAATAATACTATTGAAAACAACAAAATATCAACAAAACAAAATTCGCTAAGGGTTCCGTGAAACACTTTGCCTCGCCTGCGATTACTGCTGTTAGTTCAAAAGTGTAATTTTGGATGCCAAAAAAACTAAGTATGTTTTTATCAGTGAAATACTGTCAAAATATACTGTACTTTAATCACGAAGAAGCTACTGTCCCAGTTTCGTAAAATTCCATAAAGTTTTGACAAAGTTATTGATGTCTAAAAACAAAATCGTAACTACATACTGAATCTAAATTTTATGCAGTTCTTATGTATATATGTTCAATGTTTTAATCAACTCAATCATTCAAATCATGTTAAGTATTGTATGTTTTGTCTTGTAGTCATAATTAAACTGTAATTATTTTGCCCTAGTTACGTGTAGTACGGGCACTATTAGTCAATAAAATTATTTGTATTTGTATTTGTACTGAATCTAAATGTTGACGCGCCGACGACGACCGAATATAGGATCGCGATGTCTCGCACTATCGACTTTAGTCGCAGGCGAGATATATTTATATTGCAGACAAGATTTCAAGATTTTCAAGGTTTTATTAATAACCTCAGACACATATACAGGTGAACATGAGGGCAATATAATTAACAACATGAGTTAAAACATTGCGAGACAGGACAGACAACACACAAATACATAGTGTGGTATAGCAGATCTGTTAATCCCTGTTTTACTACACTCTTTTAAAACCAATCATTATTCACAAATAATTGTTCGTTCCATATCAAACTAAGACCTTAGACATAGTTTGGTATTTGTAGTTTTCATTATCCCCCGAATAAAGGATCATTTCGACTGTCTGTCTGTCAAATATCCCTCTTAGACTTATTACTGAATTACATGGAAATAATCCTACCAAATTCAAGTGTTCTTATGGCAATCATACCACATCTTATTATTTGTATATCAATATGTAAAATATAGCTTTAATGATATACGAAAGATTGGGAGTTCTCCTTCTTTGCTCAATATTCTCAGTACAGTATTTCAATAAGTGTGTTTTATAATATTTCAGACGTAAACGAGTGTCTATCGAATAATGGTAGATGTGATCATATCTGTTACAATAGAATTGGATCCCGTTTGTGTGTCTGTCGAAATGGCTACCTAAAAGTTGGGGATCACTGTATTGGTGTGTATTGATTTTATAATTCTTTTTATATGACCACTTTAATTCATTAAAGAGTGTTTGTATCATGACTCTCCATTACCGGAAATATAGGCATTTAAAAGATTTAACAATTTTCAATCTAATTATATTTAAATTTGTACCCCCCTCTTTTTGTGATATGTTGTACAGAAAGATCTAACGAAAACCTTTATGCGCGACATATCAGATAAGAGGGAAATAAAGAGCCAATTTTAATTACATTGAACCATTTCTATTCCGAAAATCAATTAAGAACGCAAAAAAAAATTTTCGGGTTTGTATATCTTACCCCATTATGTTAAAATCTTATGAACTAAAGACAACATGTGACTAATTTGTCTATTGATCCAAGGATGGAAGTGATAAAGAGTCATTGTAATACTGTTTCTATGGTCCTAGATCTGGGACTATTAATAGTCCCGGCCCAGATATAACTGAAATGGAATTAAGATATTCGATAAAGTAAAAAAAGAAAAAAGATGAGAACACATTTTAGATTCATAGATAACAATTACTAGTTACAAAAGTAAAACGCAATTTTAAATCTGAAATGTAAATTGCATGCATGAGATTCAATGATTCCGTTACACGTATTTCGATTTTGAAATTACATGCACATCTTTCACCATACGTTAAATTTCCATTTAAATCCCAAAGTTCATGCGTATGTAAAAGGTTGTTTTTTAGGAAAACAATCTTTTAATCTTTTCTAATTGACATCATGTTTAAGTCTTTAACCGGATAAAAAAGTTAAATGTTATAGAAAATATAAAATGAAATAATTCAGATGTATCCGTGAATAACTGTAAATCCGGATACTTGGATAAACTTTAACGACACATTCTCAGATTGTTGAATTAAATCTGTCAAAGAAAACATTCACCGTCTAACAGTCTTATTTTCAAAATTATTAAAAGTTGGATACAAATTTTATAATTTCAAGATTCTATTAATATTGATAACACTCGGGACTCAATATATGTGTTATATTAGGTCAAATACCATTATAAAAAAAAAAACATGACGAAATGAAGATACGACAATTAAACAAATTCGTTCGTCACCTGATCTGCATTGTGCTTCCATCGACCATCCTTGCAAATGTTCACAGAATAATTGTCTATCTAGTTCTGTAGAAATTTTTAAGATAATCAATTTATAAGTTAATTCCAGTTTTAAAAATGAAAAAAAAAACCATACTTATATCATAGCGTAAATTGACTGTACGAAAGTTAAAAAAAAAAATCAAAAAAAAATCATATATTTGTTTAAGATCAAATGCAACATTTTCGCTGCTTGGATAACTTTCAATTCATTTTAGACAATTTTTATAAAGGTAAACTAAGAAAAGTGCTTCGGACGCACGAACTTTATAAAGTCTTATTTTCATAATTTATCTTTTAATTTAAAAGGCAATTGACCACGTCAGATTAATATTTTGGAATGGGAATAAGAAAGATCATTTAGTACACAATATAATATACATGATATATGTAGCTCCATTACCATTCCAAAAGATTACTCATTTAATCTATACAAAACTAAGACGGATTATATAGGCGGTAATCATTATAATGTTCCGGCTCGGTATCTTCCGCCAAGTTCCGCATGAAGTCCATAAAAAGACATTCATCCGGGCTGGGAAAAGTTTCACAGCTGGTCGGCTGCACACGCGATCTCCACTTATTCCAAGGCAACGTGTCTTGCCAAATTATTTGGAAACTACATGAAGTATGATTCGGATGTTTGGATGAAAAAGTATATTTCCTGTTCAGGTGAGTTTTTAAATTTTCTTATTGTGGTTAAATTACTTATAGAAAATAAACTTATGTGTGTACACGCATTCGTTTGTTGTAAGCATTCCAGTCGGATCAAATAACCAAAACTTATCCGAAGAGAGGAACAATTGGGTTTCTCGTCATGAAGCATACTTTTGGTATTGCATTTAGATTTATATATTTATAAATATACGCATGTAATCAGGTTTCATATGCCTCTATGTAAATATATTTTGAAATTATATAATGCCTTGGAACATTTTTTTTTTTACATTTGTAAATTTATGTCACGTAGTCAAATTCAGTCATAACAAAAAAGTGCTATTGAATACATTTACAGATTTGTTTTTTTTTTATTTTATTCTTTAAATACGAAATTATAATACAGTTATATATAAATATATGTACTTATTAGATTTGATAATAATATCAATGGAATTTATTTTTTGTCGAATTTAAATCTCCAGTCTGATCTCATAAGTCATTTTCCCATTTTGTATTTTTTACAGAGTAAGAATATACAAATTGATTAATTTAGTTAAAGATTATTACACGAAATAAATTTGATGAAAAATACTTTTAAAACCCAGACACAAAACGCATATGCGTTTGTTATTGATATCCTTTGTGTACCTTTGGAGAATTCTTTCTTTGGATCTGGAAATAGAAACAAGTCACGTGATCCTTGTATCTTGCAAAGTTTCTTCGTGCCTCATTAGCATCCTCTGATATACAGGGAACACAAACTACAAACCACTTCACCTGAGCTATCAAATTACATACAGGACTTGATGGAATTTGTATGGAAAACATGCCAAGTTTTTTTTTCTGATTATAGCTGGAAGTTTTCTTATTTTTTATGCAAAGGGGGAATTACGAAATAGATTAACCTACATTTTTGTTTACTCGTGTACAAATACCATGATTGAGAACGAGTCAAGATATAGTAACTGTTATTGAAGGAGCAAAATTTGTTTAAATTTTCCAGTTATATTTAACTTGTGCTCATCTGGTCTAAAGAGCTAGTTTGAACTACTGTTATTGGTTTTCCCAATCTGAGCTTTCTATGGTCCGAGATCCAGTTGAAGCAACAAATAAAAAAGATTTATTATCCATCTATTGCTTTTCAAAAATCTTCTAAAATAGAAATAAATAGTATTCCCGAATGATATGTGAAAATGCAAAATGTTACCTCGGTTTTGATAAAAAAAGACATTTTACCTAAAGTTATTACGAACACGATGATACATCGACTCATCATGATTATGCTAAATGATGTTGTATCTCCAGTGGCGGATCAAGAAATTTACATAAGGGGGGGGGGGGGGGGGTTTGGGGCGCTCCAGTCATGTTTCAGTGGTCCCTAAATAATCAACAAAATTTTTCCAACAAAAAGGGGGGGTTGTCGGGCACCCTGCCCCCCCCCCCCTAAATCCGCCTCTGATCTCGGGTATGCCTGAATACAAACCGTGTATCGGTTACCCCAAAAATAACGCCAATCCTTTTTTTTTATAGTTCATTGTCTATCTAAAAGCATTGCAGGCTTGATAGAATTCTTTATAATCCAATTATTTCCAGAATTAACAAAAATACGTTTAAATGAATAAAAATCAAACAAAAAAATCTCTTATTTTATTTGAAGTTCATATAGCAGATGACATATAGCCCATATCTTCCTTTTATTCATATAGAGGACAAATCACCTGTACAGGTACTATATGAGTATAAAAAAAGGTATGAAAACATTTATACATTAAGGGCATACGAGACAGTTTTGATCCCACGGTGAATTTTTTACGAAAGTTTGCATACAAGCTATTTTTCACCTAGTCAATTCAAATATGTAATAAAAAATGTACCTCGTCCTCCATGTTGTTCTTTTGGAGATAAATGGGGTCGAAATTTTTGAAATTTACTGGAAATTTTGGTTTCTTGGATATTTCTATCCTTTGGAAAGACATACCAAACTTTTTTGTTTTAAAAGATAAACGCAAGCGGATTTTTGTAAAAACATTTCCAATATCTTCTCTACATAAATTGTCTTTGAATTTGTGTAACACTTCTTTGGAAGTAATTCATTTGATTTTAGTCAAAAACCGGCATTTTTTTCTGTATATTTATCTGATTTAAAAAAATTACATCGGTGAAATGTTTATTAAAATTGGCACAAATAATCTTCACACATAATGAAGCCAAATGTCATTTTTAAAAAGAGGGGTCCATGAACTCGTTTTCGAGTTAAATCAGTCTGAATGATAAAAATCAGTCGAAAAATGCATCTTTTCCCGATATGTCACAGTTTGTCGTCGCGAAAATAACATTTTACGTTAGCGACGTCATTACCTCCCCTGTAACTGTATCGTATGCCCTTAACATAATGTTAGTGTATCCGTTTTGAAAATCAAAATTATCATAAATTCCGAACAACGAAATCGAATTGTTATCAGGGTGTCAAGAATAAATACTTCTGATATTTTTGTGGCCATCAACATATTTTTGACAGACAAAATTCCCACCTCCCGCTATATTTGACAATTTTTTGACAAGCGAAAAAAAAAAGACCCCAAAAACTGTCTTCAATCTCTATGGTGTTCTTTTGGACGTTCATTCAACGACTTATATACGCTATTTTAGCTTTTCAATGGGATTGGTCTGTAACGTGTGAGAAAGGCGATTAACTATCGAGAGTCCTCGCCCCGTTCCCCCGACATTGAATACAAAAACTAAATACTCATGAAACGTATGTGATTTATATAGAATGGAGATAATAATATGTCTGAACTTTTTTATGTTTCATTTCAATGCATAAAAAGAAACTGTTTTTTTCTGTTACAAATCATGATGTATTGTTTTATGTGTGCATGTCATGCTGCCCATCAAGGGCCCTTGATTGGAATAATAAATATTCTTATTCTTCTCTTATTCTTATGCCTGAGAACTTAACATTTTTTTTTTATAAAGTCAACCCACCACCTAACTACCTATGATAATCATTGACAAATTAAGTCGTTCGAAAAGAGAAAGGGGTCATAATCATAGACCATATGTTAATGCCTTTTTGACTGTTTTATCTACATTAATGATCTGTTCGGTCAAATCCATGTTCTAGAAAAATGATATGAGTTATCTTTCTTTTATGGCTTTCCCATTGTCACAAACATGTCTCTATTCGCATTTTTCAAACATAAAATAAAATTGAAAGCTTTCGTAATTTGCATTTTGTAATATTTGATTGATTTATGACAAATGATAGTGATGTAGTGTAAATAGTTTATCGAAACAAAGTTAAAAGTTAACTTGTAACCTGCAAACTTATGTTAGACAACTTATACAGTAATTTTAAGTTAGAGAGTGCACACGCCTTAACATAATTATTCAACTTCGTAAAATTTATATCGATTACCGCAATGTATAAACACAGGTTATAAGAAAAAAATATTCAGCCTTAGTGACCCCAATTGTTCGTATTTATAAATTATACATTAAAGTACACTGAGTTGAATCGTATTCACATAAGGAATCCGGAAATATTTCAATGAGGTTTTCCCGAAGTTTTAAATATCCAGAACATAATAACGATAATGTGTGTATAAGTTTTGTATCCTTCAATCTTTGTCTATTTAGAGGTGTTTGAATAAAACATAAGAGAAAGAAACGTAAGGAACATACGAAGGTCAATATGTTGAAAATTACAGCCCACTGTGACCAAACGTTGTTTACATGGTCATCTATATAAAATTAAGGAGATGTGGTATGATTGCCAAACTATCCACCTTAGTTCAAATGAAGTGGATGTTAAGCAATTACAAGCAACCGTACGGCCTTAAACAATGAGAAAAACTCATACCGTATAGTCGGCTATAAATGTTCTTTAGGCTTTGTTGGATAATTGACTCATTGGCAATAATACCACACCTCCTTATAGTATTCTGTTCAATTAAACTTATTCTCATACGCGGTTATTCAGTACAGAATAGAAATGGTGGGATTTTTGTGGACAAACACCATTTAACCTAAACCTACATATAGACATGAAATATTGAAAATGCATTGTGTGCCCTCTTATAACCATAAGCTGGCAAAGGAATCGGTCTGCATTTTGTAGTATTTCGGTCACCAGATAATGACATAAAATGAAATTGGAATTTTGTTTTCCCTAGATAAAAATTTCTGTATCCACCCCTGCACACTTATTTGTCTGGGTTAAAATGAAATAGTTTTCCTCAGTTTTGGACCATACGAACAATGTTTAATTAGTGGGCAGAATTTTCACGAGTGGATGTTTATCCTTGCCATTAATACTACAACGTTATCCAAAGTGCATATACAAGATGTTTCAATGCTTCCGAAACAGGAAATATTTTGAATTGATCCGGTTTGGTTCCTCCCCTATTTAATATATTTAAAGTACGTCATCCGCACATAATTTAATTGCATGGATATCTGTACAATACGATTAAGGTAAATATTTTTTTTTATTCTTTACTTGTTTATACGAAATGGCTTCAACAATTCACTTTCTTTATACAATGAGGGCTTAAGAAAAGTTACATTTTCAAACAGTTCAGCAATTATTATTTATGTATTGCATTAAGACAAGTCGTTATACTACCACTTGTAATAATGGGAAAATAGATACGTTGATTGTGTGATTGATAGATGAAGTTTTCACGCCGTGTCAGCGCATATTTTATCACGGCGAAGAAAAAGGGATACAGACTGACACAGTATTGTGAACGTATTTTCTCAATTCATCTATACATACATGACATAACTAGAATGCTTAAAGCAAATCAGATGTTTTGTTAGTGTCTGTTTAAATCATCTATTACCTTTCTTTTATTCTTGGTGATTTAGAGCTTGACATTGTATAGAGAAACGTCTATTGCTGAATACTGCTGATCTTTAAATGTGCCTTTTTTGTGTTGCTCGGTTTCTGTCTCATTAACTTTTATGCCACATTTTTTTCTAATTCCAATGAAAGATGAAATTATTTAGACAAAATAAGACATGCATGTGTTTAATATCTGTCTGAGGGAACTGAATTTTTGGTCATGAGTAAACTTCTAAATTCTTTCTTTTTTATTTTGAAATTTGAATAAAATGAAGGGAAACTTACGGAGAATTCTACCTGAAATACCTCGGTGCCTTTGTAAAATACATCTGGTCATCAATTTTGCTTTCATTTGGTGATAGTGATTGGGTGATACAAACAACTTGTGCGTCTTTATGTACGACTTATAGAGGAGATGTTAGGCCATACGTCAATGAGACAGCAACCCAAACGACAAAATACATCAAAATACATCTACAGAGTTTAACAAAAAATAGGTGTTTATACAATATGGCAACATCTAAATTGTCTAAAGTCTTAAATAATTGTGAATAAATGTAACCTGGTAACAGAAACTATCAAAGGTCTGCCATCAACACCGAATTCTGCAAAATAGCAAAAATATCAAGATATGACAGAAAACTGTCACTGACTTGTAAAATGCTAATAATTTTCATTGGAGTTAAAATTGAAATATAAATATGTTAATGTCATTGAAAACTATATAATAAACCAAAGCAGTAAAATAATATATAGGTAATAAATAATACGACTTCTCTCATTCCTTGACTTTTGATGTGAAAACAGACGACGACTGTTTTGTGAGTGGCCGATCCGGAAAGAAATAATTATGCGTTTGCATACTGAGTTCAACAAGAAGTATATAAAAATACACTCGATGTAATCATTTGTGTAAAGACGTACTTTCCGAATTTTAACCATATAAGTTCCTCCTACACTTTGTATATATTTACCGCGGAATGTTTTCCGAACCGGCCTATTTTTTAAGTCCTTCTTTATTTTGATCAATCTAAAAATGCAATTAAAGAACAAGCATTGGATATTGTGATTATGTATACTATGTTTAAAGGTAGGTTCTGTTCCAATCTAGGACATACGGTACCCTTTACTGACTGATTTGAATCAAAATAAAAAGAGTAACGGTTTTTATTTTATTTTTGTGAATAATTTGGACAGTGATATATTATCTTGTAGGTTAGTATATATATATACTAACTTCTTCTTTAGTGTCCTTGATACATGCAGTCACCAATAACATGGTGTGTGATTGATTGATTGTTGTCTAGCTTAAATGCTATATTTTAGATTCATAACTTAACTTAGTGTCCATTAATTATTATTTCATTATTACACTTGTCACATTTTTATCAGTTTACTTGTTTTAATTTACACGGAATTCAATCTTTGAACGCCAAAAAATGAAAAGGTCGCAGAGGAATTAAATTTGCAGAATGCATAATTTTTACACTCTTGTAAACAGGCTAATATTTTGATGCATTTTATTAATTCACTTTTGCTTTTTATATTTATTTGATGGATTTATTTCATGATAAAACTTTTATATATAGTCGTAGAACAATTTGTAACAAATGATTGTCCATTTACTGTAGTGATATTCTGGAGCACCTTAGATCGCCCTCGGTTTTTAGTGGGGTTCGTGTTGTTCAGTCTTTAGTTTTCTATGTTGTGTTTTGTGTACTGTTGTTTGTCTTTTCGTCGGTTTTCGTCTTTTGCCATGGCATTATCAGTTTGTTTTCGATTCATGAGTTCGAATATCCCTTTGGTATCGTTCGCCTCTCTTGTTTCAGGTATTCAATTTTTTTTTAATTGTTAAAAAAACGATATATATTCTAATGTAGCGCATGTTAGTGTCACCACAATTATATCAATATAAATATATATACTAATGTATGCGGAACTTGTACTTTGAAATAAACTTTGAGATCACACATATTATTTCCTATTCTAACTTAGGAATCTCATATTGTATTCCTTGTTCCACATCACACAACACAAAAGGGGGGGGGGGATGGGGCTTGAAATGCAAGCCATCTAAATCGTATCAGAGGAGAGTAGACGCCTTTTAAATTTTCGAAACACTTACAGTTAAACTCCGAAGTAAAAGTTTAAACCAGTACCTTAATTTTTCTGATGAGTGTTGGTGGCAAAAATATAATTACTGGATTAAAATTAATTAGAATACACGTTTTAACTAGAATACTCCTAATATAAAGAAAAGGAGATGTGGTATGATTGCCATTGAGACAACTATCCTCCAAAGTTCAAATGAAGTGGATGTAAGCAATTATATGCAACCGGACGGCCTTCATCAATGAGAAAAACCGAAACCGTATAGTCTGCTAAAAAAGGCCCCGTCATGAAAAATATGAAACAATTCAATTGAGAAAAATAACGGCCTAATTTATAGCAAAATAATATACGAAAAACAAATATGACAGACATGAACCAACGACAAACACTGAACTACAGAGTCTTAGGACAGGCACACATCTATGAAGGCGCGAACCCTCCCCAAACCTGGGACAGTGGTATAACAGTGCAACATAAGAACAAAGTATTAAAATATCAACATTGTAATCTGTTATAAGTACATTTTAATATTGGATATTAACAAACTATTGAGAAAGAGCTAAATGTACAACATAAGTAAGAACGTAAGTTATTTGTTTATTATACATGTTTTAATGACTTGTTAACATGTTGCAATAGATATACCACAATTACAAAGTTTGTGGTCAATTTAACACCCAGCCTATTGAACCTATAAGTCACATTTTGACGATATTAGTTAGTTTATACACAATCACAGACTATGTCATGTATATGTAAATATAACATTATAATGAAAGATTGTTCAAATAGCAAGTTCACAAAAAGCGAGTTGAAGATCAGAAGAATTACAAAAAGCATTCCTAGAATCTTTTCCCGTTGTTATACTAGTAAAACTGAGAGTGGAAACGGGGAATGTGTCAAAGAGACAACAACTAGTTTGGATCATGGAAGTATTTTAAATGGCATTAAACCAAGGAACCTGTATTCCAGTTGTTGTCGTTAATTGCTATCTGTCATATTTGTATTAGCTGAAATCAGGCCAAGGTTTTCTCGTTTGAAAGGTTGATGTCCCACATTTTGTTATTCCGAGGCGTTTTACCGATTAGGCTTTACGGTGACCATTTGTTGCTTACATCCGTGTCTATTGGTCTTTGGTAGATTAATGATTTTAGTCTCATTTTAATCATGACATATTTTCTTCATGATTTTTATTTTTAAAACTACCATTCAATCATATGCTCTTCTATTTTAAACTGGAATAAGATGATAAAAACAAAAATACTGAGTCTTCAGAAATGAATAATACTAACTCGTTTCATATTGTATTTCAGGTTGATGTCATGTAATTAAGGACAAAAAATGTTAAACAACGAAAGGGATCTAGTGACTAGACTATTAAAGCAAAATATTGTTACTCTGTGTAAAGAGACCGTTTCATACGACACACAACTAGAAATAGACGGCATTATTTGTATCTCAACAGGCAATGAATCCCAGCAAATAGTAGTCAAGGTACATAACTTCTTCCAAAAACTTGGCAATAAATCACCAGCTCCACGAAAACATACCGAGCAATCACAACAATCACCGAATGATCATGTTTGGAAGACAAACACCGAAGCAAAGAGGTATCCAATAGGTCAATTCAATGTTCAAAAAGATCAAAATGATTTTTGGCAAAAGCAGCTTCAAAAGTACAAAAATGATACAAAACTACAAAATGAAACGAGTGGTGGGATTGCAAACAATAATAACGATGTCACTACTAATGGATATGACCTTGACCAGAACCACTTGGAAAATAACAGTCAAACCGTCTCGCCACAAATTCCGAAGACAATAACTAGTCTGGAACAGGACGAAACAAGTTTTCAAGAAGAAAACGACAAAGGTGTTTTACATGAATCCTCAAGTGGAAGCGATACAATGGATTATGAAGATGCTGCAATGAATGATGATGTCGTAAATGGAGTAAACGATAATCTCAGTAATCCCCACATAATATCGTTTCACGAGAATGGAGACGTGATTTCGGAAATGCCAGGACAAAGTCCGGTTAAGATGTCACCCACTGACGTACAATCTAGCTTAATCGACATGAAAACACCAAGAAAACATTCATCGCGCGACGAAAACTCGATGATTGAATGTAAATTGGGTAAAAACTGTAATACTGACGAAGATTTGTCAAAGGTGCCGATACGACAAGTCCGAGACATACAGTGCAAACGCTGCGGTACTATACTGTCAGACGGACAAGCGTTTGAGCAGCATAACACGGATGTTCATAGCGTGTATACCTGTAGGGTTTGTTTTAATACTTTCACCTGTAGAAATAATATGAAGCGTCACATGCGGCTTCATACTGGATTTCGACCATATACTTGCAAGCTATGCTCTGAAAGTTTCACGCGTAAAGACGATATAAAACGCCATCTTATACGCCATAGCTTTGATAAACCGTTCCGCTGTAATGTCTGTAGAAAGGGATATATGGATCGCAAAACCGTGAAGAATCATATACGAAAAGAACACCACTCTAAAATAATTCACATTTGTCAGACATGCGGGGAAGCATTTGATAACTCAGTCAAATTTCAAGATCACAAAAAGAATCACCCAGAACTTAAAATGTTTCAGTGTTCATTATGCAAATTTACCGGGTCAAACTTATTGACTTATAACAAACATCAGTTAATACACGAGATAAAGAAGGAGTATTGCTGTGAACCATGTGACCTTATATTTGGAGATCCTTTCCGATACACAACACATTTAAGAAAACACCGGTCTGATCCCAACTTTATCAGCTATCGATGTTGTTTTTGCAATTTAAAGCTTTCAAGTTATGATCTTTTTATGCGACACGAACATAGTCATGACCAGTCAAAGCAGTTCACATGCTTTGTTTGCATGAAACAGTTTCAAAACGATGCATCACTGAAGGAACACAAACGAAGCCATCCTACATACAATTGTGGAAATGATACATCTCCACCAAACTTGCTACCGAGTGTTATTGCGTCCCGTTTGATGGTTCAACAACCTATTTTCCCATCTTTTATGAGTTCATTTTCACAAGGTATATTACCCGAAGCACCTGATCACCCTATAGACGCAACAGTAGCTACAACAACACTGGAACTGGCCAAAACCGAACTTCAAAAGAAGGAAATAAAAAATGACATTGAATCAATTGATGAGTCTTTCCAACCCACACAGGGAACTGAGCAAAACGACTATTGGTGTGCAGAATGCCAACATGGATTTGGAACCGAAGAACACTTGACGGAGCATATAGCTCTTGCTCATGAAGGAAGTTCTTTGGATAACGCTGCTGAACATGCTGAAGAATGGAATAAAACAGACGAAAATTTTACTGATTCGTCCAAAACTATCAAGCAGAGCGAATTTGATAAAATACCGAAATCTGAGTTGTTCGAAATGTCTGATAACGATGAATCGTGCGACGAATTAGATAATATGGAAATACACGAGAACGCATCTGGTTCACCGAGCGGAATTAGATATACTCCAGTCCCAATATTCAGTAACTCAAAACTTAACAAAAGATCAAAAGCACGACAAGAATCGAAATCCGAAGGTGGCAGTAATATTCAACCCGAGTCAATTGACTTTAAAGATGAAAGGTCTAGCGACAGTTCTGGTGTCCCATTACTCGAAACAGGAGAATACTCATTAAGTCCAAAAACGGACGAATACTATGAAAGCATTAAAGGGGACAAGAACTTTCACGCACAAAATCATTTTACCTGCAGTATTTGCTTCCTGAGTTTTTCTGACTTTGAGCCATATGATCTCCACAGCAGTATGGTACATCGCAAGTATATATGTCATTTTTGTGGGAAAGATTTTACGTCGCGTCCAAATCGCGATCGTCACGTAAGATACCATACAGGAGAAAAGCCGTTCAAGTGTGACGTCTGTCATCAGAGTTTTGTTCGAGGAGACGATTTACGCTACCATAGAACATCAAAGCACCCAGACGTGAAGCCATATACATGTACTATTTGTGGTTTGTCCTTTCCTTGGGCGAAAGATTTAGAGAGACATACAAAAACCCATGGTATAAGTTGATGTGCTAAATCATCAAAATATTTAGATTTTTTAATGATAGTTTTAGTGGGCATTGAGTGAACCTTGTTCTATATACATTAAAACACATTTATTATAGTATGCATGATCAGAAATAATCGTCGGAATGCCAATAATATTGGCATATTATGCCCCATATGTTTAAATTTTAGTTTTGCTAAATCAAAATGTAATTCGTAAACATGATAAGATATACCATGAATGTATTCATAAAGGCATCGTCAGTATTATTCCCACAATTTCTCTTTTTTGTCCGATGGGGAAAAACATTTGTGTCAACTGTGAAGTGTACAAAGATGCTTTAGCTAAAAAAAAAAGAAATCTCAAAGAAAAAGTCAGTTTTTGTTGCATAATAACGCGTAGAAAAACCTTTAACTGTCAGTTTTTTTTCTGTTGTACTATTTTGCTAGTTGAATTAATGTTTTTGTTTTTATCACTACACATGTTTGTAAGCAGTATTCCCAAACTAAGTTTTAATTTGATGCTAGTCCATGAACAGTTCACACATTTACACATGTCTTGAACTTTGTGCTTAAATATTGCTTTCATTGTTATATTGTTATGTATAATGCTTGTAATAAATGTACAGGTTAGATTATTTGTTTCAAAGTTATTTCAGTAGGACATTTTGCAATGGTTGAGATTCATTTGTTATGTATTTTGATTTAATACATCCCTTTTTTGTCACACTTGATACGCACATTTTGTATTTCAAATATCAAGTCCAAGTCTGATGTCTGGACTTAATATATGGAACTGATGATGGATATATAATGAAAACGTGCATTATTTAGCCTTCAATTAAATTTAGGATGTCTGCTTTCGAAAACATATTTTAAAGAAACAAATATGTTGTTAAGGTTGTTTCAAGTTTTCAGCTCTCTTCACAGACTCGAATTGTTACAATAAACAGTTTTATAGTTCTGTTATCTATTTATATTTGAAATCACGCATTTTGATTTTACGCTAAAATGTACAAATATTTTGGTGTTTGTGGTCTTTTTTAGGCGAAATCTAATTTATTATTTTTATTATTATAATTGTTATGCCAGAGTTCTAAAATATTGGAATTACTGTACTGTTGAGAAAATGGGTGAAGTATACTAAGAAATGATTTTACCAAAAATATGTACATCCCATATCAATTTTTTCTTTTCAAAATTCTTAGATATGTATTTTTTTCATTCATTCATAACAAAAGAGTCGGTATAATATGCTTTTTGTTCTAAAAAAAAGAGAAAAATCCCAAATTTACAAAATTTACAGTATGGTCAATTTGACACGAAAAAGCAACAAAATTTTATAAAACTTTCTTATATTAACACCTACCTATAGTTTTTTAAAATTAAATTTATTCAGATTGGTCAATTTCATCGTTAGTGAAAGTATGAAAAAATGTTTAATTATGAAACTGTGACTTTTTTCCTGATAATAGCCCAAAAATGGGTAAAAATTGATGAAAAATGGGAAAATCATAAAAATGGGGTACTTTCAAATGGCCGTAGCAAAAAAGAATTGCACCACCATATGATTTTTTCTCCACCTAAAAATCAGATTAAGAAAAAAAAGTTTAATTCTAGAAATGTTTGGCTCCTCAGAGGTGTACATCCTTAAGGTGATTCCTGTTATCTATTTTATGTATTACCTAATGGAATGCACTAATTCTATGATCTATCCGAGATCATATCAGCCACCGAACATAGACGAAAGAACTCATTGCATGGACATACGGTACAATACAAATAAGATACATTCAATATTATCAGTAACTTGAGAAAATTTGTTGATTGAAAACCGTGAACAAGGAAATATATTTTCACTATTCTAATAGTGATAAAAGATTTGAATGAATCACTGAATGATAAGGTTCTCGGATTACTTACGTATGGCTGAATGATAAGGTTCTCGGATTACTTACGTATGGCTGAATGATAAGATTCTCGGATTACTTACGTATGGCTGAATGAAAGGAATGCATATATCTAGAAGAAACATTCTACACATACATAAGTACCAAAGTTATAAGTCATATATATGACCAAATATTAAAATGTATTTGCAAAAATAAATAAGCAGTGTGTTAAAACACGATGAATAGGAGAAGGTCCCTGTTTTTAGTCCAATCAAAAAAATATTTGAAGTTTTTTAAATATTACCCGTCAGATGTTTATAAGCGCCATAAGTCTGCCAGAAAGAAGTGCCTGTGCATAACACGTTTTAGTGGGGTTGATAACCGAGAAATCGGCATGTAACGGAATTTCGCGACCGGCTGACATTTTTCAAAAATGCGAGTTAAGTACCTTGTGTTAAATTAAGGTATATAGGGGGAAAAAATTCTGAGACAAGTGACCGTGGTTAAAACATACAACATAAAAGTCATCTTCTAAAAAGAAAGAAATAAAGGAGATGATTAGAAATGAAGTTACCTTCTATTTCAATCAAGAGTAATTTACCACATTAAAAACTCGGATACCTAAGCTATTTTTAAGTTAAATGTTTTTTATTGTTTTAATAAACTAAATTAATATTGTCGATACAATATGGAGTTGTGAAAAATATGATCACCAACGAGACAACACATTTTTACAATCAAATAATTAACAGGTACTGATCTTTATCAAGAAAGAAGACTCGTATACTTATGTAAGCTATAACATAATAATCAAAATCTTAAAAGAAAATTTCCACCTGTTTCAAATCATCAACTTAACGGAAGTAGACGACAACCACATGACACCATGCATTTGAACAGGCACAATAGTATTAGTATAGCGCTCTTCATCTGGGATTGTGTTACAGAAAAAAAAACAATGCAGATTTCTTTTAAGATGCATAATATTGAAAGAAATGAAATAAGTAATGAGATATGATTAGTAATTTGACGCAAATTATGAACATTTTTAAGTTTATGTCTGTCATTTTATTTCCCCTTTTTTATCATTTAATAGACGAAATACATGTAGTTGCTTTAAAAAGGCTTACAAAACTTAGAAACATATATAACAGAACGCAGACTTGATAATGTTGCTTTATTTGAAATTTGTCATGCTTCGGTTTTTACGCCTACTTTTATTATTTGATTGTTGTAAAATACAAAGATCCAGTAATAACCCGACGAAAGATTTATTTATTATTAGTTTCCTTTTGTTAGTATTTTTAACAGCAAGAAGCATTATAGAAAATTAATTCAGACTATGAGTTTTAAATGACGATTATGAAATTAAAATTACCGCAAAAGTCGTATTCAGACATGATACGGTTTATTTATGCATCCAATAAATATCCGACTAGACATGTTTCGGTTCTCCTGTGCTCTTACAACTCTTAATTATATAAGGAACTCGTTATGCAATACTGTGACAAAGACTATGTCAATAACGGGTTTAACTATTTCTGGAATGTGAAAAGCTCTTTAAAAGTCGTGGATAAGCTTCGATTCTTTGGATTCAGATTGCTTCCGATGACATTTATGATTCTCTACACTTTATACTACACTACCACACAATCGAATTAAAGATAAGTCCTATTTGAAAAAAATTGTCTTTTGATAAATGTGGGTGTATTTATGTATGTTAAAATTCCCTTATCGGTAATAAAACTTACAAAATATACACAAATTAGATATGCAAAGAAGTAATTGAAACCATTATATTTTTTCTGGATACCATTGATGTTAAAGTATACCGACAGGTGCTTGGTATTCGGATTGGAACTAGCTGTGCCCCTCTTATTGGAGATTTATTTTTTTACTGTTATGCATATTATTTTTTACTAAGATTCATACAGAACCAATAAAACACCACTTGATAGATATTTTTAAAAAATACAAGCAGATATCTGGATGATATATTCTCTGTAAATAATCAGGATTTCTAAATATACAAATGAAATTTATCAACCTGAACTCATTCGTACTGACTCAAATATTATATTCCGCTGTATGTTAATATTGATAGCGAAATCAACATTTGGTTGGTTGAAACTATCCCACGTCAGTGACGTTGAACAAAACTTCATATTCCCCTCTGAGTATCACAATCCCCTCTGAACATCAGGACTTCCTTGTGCCAATGTTTATAACGTTTTATTTTGATAGAGATATTTTAGTAATTTCGTTTTTAAAATCATTTCAGAAATAAGAAATAAACGAATAAATAATTAACTTTTGATCGGTACTGATTATCATTGTTTATGTCGTGTTTAGTTATAATTCAAGCGGATAAGAAAGACATTATGTAAATTAATATCTTATGTTCTGGAAGTAAAAAGGGTACATGGATAGGCAGTGGAATAAAACATTCATTTCCCCTGGCTTAGGGAGATATGAAGATTTGTTCGCCCTCGAAAAGTCATATTTTCCTCGGGCGATGCCCTCGTGAAATATGAATTTTCTTTGGTGAACAAATCTTCATATCTACCTCAGTCACGGGAAATAAATGTATAATAGTGATCGATGTCCTTTTCATACTTTGATTTCAGAATTTCATGTGGGAATAATCACCAAAATTTATGATAAACTGAACGCCTTTCCCTTTCATATTGTTTATTTTCCTTTCCTTGATAGTGATGGTCTGTTGGCTCTTTCTTATGATTGATATTTCTTAGTTGACTCGAAATACGCGTGTTTCAAGTGAAGTCTCAGATGTTGTTGAAGACTATATGTTGCCCTATTGATGTCTTTTGTGATTTTTGTTGTTAGGGTGCTGTCTCATTAACATACAATTCACATCTTTTATTATATTGTGACTCAAGCGTTGTACAAATATAGACTCTAGAAACTGTTGACTCAAAGAAGATGACTGAAAATACTAGAATATATTAAAAGAAGTCGTTATATTGGCACACTTATGCTGAATATATGGATATACACTGACGATATGCCGACATGTTCACCACAAAAATAAAACTTAAGTCTTTAATAGTTTCTCTAAAATTATCAACTTGTGTAAGTTCAGGTACATGGCAGTAATTCAAGAAGATTTGTGGTCAAAATTATTGACATAGTCTCTCATTCTAAAAAAATCATATTTCCAATACAAAATTGTGTACGTGACCACTATTTTAGATATTGAGGAAGAATTGCGGATATTATTCTAAATATGTAAATTATAGTAAAACTGAACCTGATTAAGCATGTCATTTCAAAGATGACAGTAAAGAAAATGAAAAAAAACGGCCTACACCTTTTTTTTGTAATGTGTTTATTGACAAAAGAACATGTAACAATATATTATGTTATATAATTACGGTAGTAAATTATAAGTAGTCCATAGTTACATCAGCAAAATCAAGACATATAGTTAAGCCTTTTTCAACTGATTTTTATAGTTTGTTCTTATGTTGTGCTTTTACACCACTGTCCCAGGTTAGGGGGATAGGCGAGTGACAGTTTTCAAAAAGACGCTTAGTTAACGACTTTAATGCACCCACCTAACATACGGCTATATTATATATCATTCGAAACTTATTAACCGTACTTTCTGTTTTGCCCGGTCGTCAATAATTCGTACGGTGCAATTTACGTTAAATCAAGGTCAAAGGTCAAAATTGAAAATTCCTAAATTTTTCTAAAATTAAACAAAATGCCCCTTTCTG